ATCTTCTAAAGGGTAAAAATAAACTCTGCCGCTTTAACATCGCTGTAGTGCAGCTGCGCGTCATTTCGCACCAGTTTGCTGCTGCATAGTCGTATTCTAAAGCGGAAGATGTCGGACTCGGCTGAAGCGAGTGGCTGTTTTATGAAATGGACATATTCCCGTCTCTTCACTTTTCTGAAACAAGCAGACAAGAATATTACAGTAATATGTAAAAACTATCGGCTGCTGTTAATAGCACGAGTAATCTACTGAAGCGCCTGACAGGAGAGCACAGACGAACACTTCTGAGTGATTCTTGTTCATCATCCATGGATAACACCGCGGCAACTCCTGCTAAGCAGGCAAAACCTGATTTTACTTCAGCAGCACAGAAAGCGTCTGAAGGTCAGCTTAAAAAACTAACTGCAGGCTACATTGTGGAAGAGATGCTACCGCTGCGTACTGTAGTCTCCGTCTTTAAAAGAAGACTAAGAAGTATTTAGTTAAATTACTTATTGAGTAATTAAGTTACTTTTCAGACACAGTAATTAGATAAGTATTTTAAATACAATATTGATTAAGTAATTAGTAATTAATTACTTTTTTAAAGTAACTTACCCAACACTGGTGTTATTCTTCAAAAAAACAAACAAAAAAAACCCTGATTATTCCGATCAGAATCGTGACAGCGGGGCTTTTGAATGCAGCGTCAGTGGAAATCATCAGATCTGTATTATGAGTCTGTGTAAATCTTTGTTCGGTTTGCACCATGAAAGTAGATAAAATGAAGAACGGCTCGATCCAAACCCGAGTGTTAGAAAATCAAAGATGATTAAATTCTAATGGTGCAAATTTAACAAAAGGACTCGTCTTTGCACAGACCTTCATGTCATGTATGAGTTTGTTTTCTGTTGTCTGCATGATTTTTTTTTTGTCAATTTCCATGAATTTTCATCCTTGTTTGAATCCTTTTCACTGTCTCTCTTTTGTTAATTTGTGTCTTGAACATGTGTGTTATCCCTTTGTAAATTAATAAAAGATTTAAAAGTGTTCACTACCATCAAAGTTTGGTGACCTCGGAACTGTGAGGTTAGATTTTTATATAAAGACAAGCAGAAGATAAAATGACCTGAAAATGTGAAACCAAACAGTTCCCAGCTCACAGCTGTCATACTTTTATATGTTTCTGTTTGTGAAGTCTCCATGAGCTGCCTCTTTGTTCTGGACGTGCAGACGTGACAGTAAAAATGGTGTCGATATTATTTTTGTTGCCTTGTTGTTTCTTGTATTAAATGAAATAAAGCATCTGTTTTAAACCGTCTCCCCATCTGAGCTCGCAGCGGTTCTTTAACAGAAAACACCCTTAACTTGAAGATTCATGAAGTCGTCCCTCTTTCTAAGGTTTATGAATCAGGACATAACCTAAGAATTCACCACATTATTCTAGTTATGTAAATATAACCTCACTGCTTCCACTGAAATTATCAGCCAGGTGCTGCTAGTTAAAGCACTTCATTAACTGCTCATCAGGTGTGAGTGGAGCGTTCAGGTGTGTTAACATAATGCCTCAGAGGAAAGATGGCAGTGATCAGAGAAGTACCTGTTGCTGACCAGCAATCTGGAAAGGATTGTAAGACCAAATGTTTTTAAATCCATTGTAATACAGCGTGACAAATTATTCATAATTGGTAAACATTCAAGACAGCTGGTTCAGGCTGGCCCAAAAAAGATCTAACAAGCATGGATTATTTGGAAGAGCTGCCAGGAGCGTCGTCTCCCTAATGAGAACGTTGCAGCACAGCTTAGGTTCATAAAGCTGCATCTAAACAAACCAAAAGACTTCTGAAACCGAAGTGGAAATATTTTGTCGACCAAACAGCACGTCAGCACAGGCACCTCATTCCAACAGTCAACCATCAGTACTCCAGTTTTACTGCATTCTGACAGACACGCAAATGCATTTACGGCTCGTCTGCAGGTGTTTTTGTTCACATGGGTTTTAAGGTGCCTGGTTTACCTTTTAGAGAGACATTAGAGAGTTAATGCTTTTATTTTTTTAATTCGATTTGTTTTTCGAATGTCACGTGTGTGAGACTCTGTCTTTTGATTATTCTGAATATTCTGCCTTTACGTACTTGCACCTCAGTAGCCATCTTGGTTAATGGCCCCACTTTAAGTTAAGGTTGAAGCTTTGTTTGCTTTTGTAAACATAAGATAAAAACTTGTTCATCCAGGTGATTTAGTTTTACTTTAATTTGTGTTGTTTTGCACGAAAGAACAATTTTTTTGTGCAAAAATAACAAAAAACACCTCATGAGTCCTGTACTTGGGAAGCTTGTCTCCTCAAGCTTATCTTAGTTTGGTGACATGATCAGAAATTTGTAGCTATTTTAAATAGATTATACAAAAAAGACAAAAAGTTGTTTTTTTTTGTTATTTCCAAATATTTGTCAGGTTAGGGGTTTTAAGTATATAATTGTTTTATCAAATATAATAAATAAGTGAATAAATAAATGAGTGAAATAAGCTTTAGTTTCCTTTTTATAATCGTCACACACACCAGTCCAGTTTTTATGGTAAGCTAAGCTAAACTTGCGGGGCTCCGTACTAACTACAGCACACACAGTCACACCCATCGATTGATGTGGAAAGAAGTCACAGCCAGCAGCTCCTTCAGAGCACAGAGAAGCTAAACGCTGACCTTTGAGAAGATCGTCCATGTGAGTGCGCAGTGACGTGTCACATGACAGCAAGGAGAAAAATAGTTCTCAGGTGTTTTTGAAGGACCACCATTCCTCATTTTTGTCATGTCACACCACATAGGCGTGTGACTTTTGGCTCCCTGCCACCAGCAAAACAAACAGATCACAGAATGAGGCTATACTGTACCTTTGGAGAGGTGAATGTTTGGAGGATGTGTTGATGTTGAATTAAGCTTCCTGAAGGTGACAAGCAGCCATCTGTTACTGCATTCATCAGTACTCCAGCTTTGCTGCATTCTAACGTACAAGAAGACATGCAAATATATTTACGCCTCGTCGGCAGGTGTTGTTTGTGCACCTGGTCTGGGTTTTTAGGTGCCTCGTTTACCTTTTAGAGAGACATTAGAGAGTTAACGACTTTCGCACGTGGCTTTGATTTTTGATTAAAGGTCATGTATGTGAGACCCTGTCCCCTGATTATTCTCACCATCTCAAACACAGACTGTATACAAAAGATGGGCATCACCATCAGCTTAATCACTTTTTTAAACTAGGTGTCAGGAGTATAGGGTAAATCTTAAGCGCTCGTTTTGTGGCGACCTGTCAACCACGCAACCTGTCACGCATCACTTTGGTAACTTGCAGACTTCCAGGTTCTGGTTGCCTAAGTAACCGCCCCCTCCAACTTATTGGTATCTTTCCATCTCCTTCGATCACTGCGCCCCTTGCCAGCTCCTTTGCGCATGCCCTTTAAAGAATATTCTTCCTTTACATACTTGCACCTTAGTAGCCATCTTGGTTAATTGCCCCACTTTAAGTTAATGTTGAAGCTTTGTTTGCTTTTTTAAACATAAGATAAAAATGTGTTCATCCAGCTGATTTAGTTTTAATTTCATTTATGTTGTTTTGCACGAAAGAACTTTGGGTTAAAAAAAAAAGGCCCAAGATAAAATAAAGAAGGATTATTATGGACTGTGAATCATACAAAGCTACTCTGAGAGGTAAATGCTCCTGTCACATTCCAAGCCTAATGTTAGTTAATATTACCTAATTCAATGATGTCGAGTTCAAAAGTACCAATAAAAATATTTACTCGTGCACATTTTTGCCACAAATCAGAAAACTGTATGTGCTCATGTTTATTTTAGCCTCTCTGATACAATTTGCATATTTTCATTGGACTACCAAACGAGGACGAGGTTAGGACAACAAAATCAGAAGATTTCACTCAAAGGCCAATTTGTACAAACCAAGGTTAATTTACTTAACTAAAACTAAAGAAATAAAACTAGATGTGAAACTAGTTTACCCTGTAGAGAAACATTATGACACTGGACAGTTACAGGCTTTGTGCGAGACTGATTATTTTTTGAATCTCAAACACAAATTGTATTGAAAAGATGGTTGTAACCATTAGCATAAACATTTTTTTAAACCAGTCCTCACAAGTGAATGAATGAGTGAAGCGCTGCCTGCAGTAAAACAGAAAAACACTAATTAAAAACAAGAAAATCCACTCTGGAATAAACTGAAGCTAAAGTGAAAGAAAGACTAAAAGTCTAAAAGAAAACTATGAACACTGCAACGACTCTGGTACAAATGAGTACATCTTAAAATAGAAGATTATCTGAAAACAAAACATGATACTGTGGAGCGAAAAGATCAGAATAACAAAATACAGAGATGGTCAAACTCTTAAAAATGTCCATTTTAGGCTGTTTTGATGAATATCTGCAGGTTTTCTGAGTCCCTGTCTCTTTTTTTCGAAAGTGTAAATTTTTTATTTGGACCAAAACTTTACGTTTCTTCAGCTCTCTCCTCACATAAATAATCCTGTTCAGGAGAAACTCTCCCAGCAACCCTTCTGATAAAGGATTAGCAACATTAATTCACAGACTGTAGCTCTGACAATGTGAAATACTAAAAACTGAATGTTAATGATTTGATTTGATTTTTTTCTGTAGAGCCCTCTCCATGTTTGTATTCTTATTTTCTTCACATGTTTTACTTTGAAGTTTTGCTCATAGGAAATGATTCATTCCTGTTTGGTGGTAAGTTATGACCAAACCGTGGATCTGTGATTGAAATAGTTGGTGCTGTTGAATTATAGCATTGTGGTGATTAAATGACTAATTTCTTCCAAAATAATCATAAAAAATAAATGTGTGATTGACTTCCTTTCAGTGCTGCTTGAGATGTGTGGCGTTAGATTAGATGTGTGTGGAGTAATTCCTTCGTGAGTCTTTCAGCTCTTATGCAGCTGCCTGTGTGTTTTGGTTTAATGGTGTGACCCTGAAAACGTCCCGTTTCCGTCCACAGGTCAAGTCTGTCATCAACCTGCTGTTTTCCGCCTACACTGGGGACGTATCAGCCCTGAGGAGGTGAGCAGCTCACACAGCTTTTAATAAGAGAGCAGTTCAGATTTAGTCACGTCTCGCCCCCCCAGTGGAGCTTTTTAATAACATCTACATGAAAGAAAGACTCCTCTGGCTGCACGAGGAAGCACCTTGGTGACCTCAAGTGGCAGAAAAATGAACTTACAGGTGTCCCTGTGGAGTTTTTTCATGAAAGTCTCATGAAACGTTTGCACTATTTTCAAAAATAGTTTAAAGTGTGGCTCTGCATCCATGTTTGCAGCCTTCTTCACCTGTTAACGATCAATTTTGAGTTAAGGACTTAAAATATTTTTCATCATTTTTTTAATCTACAAGAGTCTGCAAACAAACATGGATGTCGTTTTATGGGCTCGGTCTGGTTGTTAGACTTTTGTTTGGAAAGTCGTGTTTTCAGGCTGTTACAAAGAAGTAAATTTAACCTGATTTCAACAATGAATTCACTTTTACCTGTTGAGTAATTTTATGCTGGTTAGAGGTGTGTAAATGGGGAAAGAAGCACTGTGAGGGCGACTAAGATTTCACCATGGAGATTAAGCCTCACTTATCATTTTAATGTAGCTGTAAAACCTTCTGTAAACCTCTGTGATGCTTCAGCGTTTGTTTGCTTTGAAAACTCAAAGGATCTAAAAATGATGAATGTCAGAGTGACCACGCCCCTCAATTTAACCCTTAAAAAATATTATAAGCTATTAAAATATTTCCCCTCCTGTAAACTTGATATGAAGGTGTTTTGTATCAGGCTGTAAACATGTTTATTTCTGCTGTGAAGTTGCACCTTTTAACATTGGAGTCTGTGGGGGCTGACTCAGTGCTGGAGCCTCTGGTGGCCACTAGAGGAACTGCGGTTTGTGGCTCTAGCCCTGCTTGGTTATTTGAAACTTCTGGAAGAAACAGAAAACAAAAAACTGCTCCAAAACTGGACAGGAAGTCATAAAACAGAAGGAAATCGTGTATCCTAGATCAGCTCTCCATATAAAATGTATTATTGCTGCTTTCTGAAGGTAATTTCCTAGGAAAAGATGTTTCAGGCTGTAACACCAGGATGTTCTTTAACCTCCAGCCTGAGACTGAACTGTGCAGCAGTTAGAGGGGCATACAGAGTTGTTTACTGGTCCTTTGTGTGTGCAGGTTCGCGCTGTCATCCATGGACATGGAGCAGAGGGACTATGACTCGAGGACGGCCCTGCACGTTGCAGCAGCTGAAGGTAACATTCAGCCTGAGGTCAGTCAGTAAGTAGACACAGCTCGCCCTCAAATACTCTTTAAAGTCTGATCCTGTGGTCTGGAGCTGTTTCCATGATGTATATAAATTACATATATGGAAACAGCAAAGTTTCAAGGTAAGAAGTAGACATAAGATACAGACGCTGCAGAAAAATACAGTCTTTAAGAGGAGTTATGCATCAGGAGAGCCAATTAAAATCAAGCATGCACCCTTTTCACAGTATAACAAGGTAAAAGTAATTTGTAACATCTGCCCTGCTTCCATTAGGACACATAGAGGTGGTTCGCTTTCTGCTGGAGGCTTGCAAGGTGAATCCAGTACCCAGAGACAGGTGAGTCTTTACTACCTGTATTTATACTGATTATAATAATGAGCTTTGAAGCAGAATTTCCAGCCTTTGAGAAAAGTCTCAGTGTGGTTAAAAAATAAATAAAATTCATCCTCCAAGCTCAGATTCTGATAGCTGTGGAGAACCAAACGTGCCAAAATCATAAATAATATAAATAAATGAAACATTTTAAATAATAATAATCTATTTTTGTATGCTAAATTATTTATTCACCAGTTTACCATCAGTTTATGTGTATTTATTTGTGTAATAATTTCTCTCCTATTATGTAAATGAGGCAGTGTGCCACTGGGTTGGCCACAAAGAAATGTGTTGCTTCATTAAATAATAAATTGTAAATCTGAATCAGAAAGGTTTAAAATATAGAGGCTAGAATTCTATAAATAAATTATTAAATTGAAGCCAAATAGTATTTGTACATTTTTTCCCCTATTTTGCAACATATTGTAGTTTTTTTTGTGTGCGTGTCTTTTTTGCTAGGCTAGGCAAACTCCTTCTAAAATAAATAAATTGAGAAATTGTTGTGAAGGTGAACTCATGCAATATCTAATAAATGCCTACACATATTTGTTATTTATTATTAATTTATCTACTATTAATTTTAGTCCTAATCTTTTGTCCTGTGACAGCTGGGAGAGGCTCCAGCCCCCCTGTGTCCCTGAAATGGATAAGCAGAAGAAAATGGATGGATGGATGAATATTAATCTTGGTTATTAATTTCCTTTAATAGTTTCTTTTAATTCTGGGTGTTTTCGGTCCTCCATACCCACCTGCAGGGTTACATCTCTCTTTTTTTATCAAACATAAAGTGTATTCTTTAACCTTTTAATTTGTTTTTGCACAGATGGGGGAACACGCCGATGGATGAGGCGGTGCATTTCGGCCACCACGACGTGGTCACCATGCTGCAGCAGTACCACGAGAAATACAGCCCGCCCTCCGATGACGAGCACAAGACTAGCCCTGAGAAGAGCCTGGACAGCCTTCTGTGAGACCTGCTGCAGGTTGCTACGGAGGACCGGAGGAGGAAAAACTTTGTAGCCCAACGCTCAGGCTTCTGTTGAATTATTTAGCTGCTCTGCTGTGATTTGATTTTTGGCCGTAAATGGTTGCTTGTTCACGTCTATCGAAATGTGAGCGTGAGCGGCTTAAACTCATATCTAAAGTGTTTACGGTATTACTCCTGTAATCTCACAGTACTGTAAACCACATTTCTAGGATGTACCTTGTACTAGTTTAGTATTTTGTTCGTTTTACTCTCACTGTACATGTGTTGTAAACTGTGTGGAAATTATGGTGTAAATTATGCGATGTGTAGTTACGGGTGTGCTTGATTTACATTCCTGCCTCTGTGCTCATTTGCGAGGTCACCAGCAGGTTCTCAGAGATTGTACTCCAGAATGTATTTTTAAGTGGAAAAACTTGCAATAGAAACAGTTTGTATTTATTTCAGACTTTCTAAAGATGGAAATTCATTTCAGAGCGTGTGAGACGGACAGAAGATCGTGTGATTTGTTGCATTTTGTAGTTTATTTTGTCAGCATGGTTACATTTGCGTATTTAATTTGGGCGGACTATAATATCAATATAATGTTGATTGGCATACATTTTAGGGCAATGTTTACAGTGACAACCTGATCTGGTTTTGTGCGGTAATTCTCAGACATTATTTTCAGATGTTTTCTTTCCACATGTGGAATATAGTCATTGTTTTTAACCTGTGAAATTTAATTTGCAAATATATAAACATGAACAACACGTACGATAATTATAATCAAAACTACATACTTAAATTTAATGTCCATGTGAGTGTTTTCATGGTGTCAGTTGGAGTTCATGTATTTCATGGAAAAATGCCAAATAAAAAGCTGGAATAGAAACCTCTATATGATTGTGTTTCACACGGTGTGGTTTAGGACGTGGAGTGGGTTGTCGACTAATCTATAGGTTTGTAGTTTGATTCCTGGCTCCTCCAGTCTGAATCTGAAGTGTCTTTGAGTGAGATGCCAAATTCTGAATTTTCATTGATTCAGCTATCAAAGTGTTCGGACAGAGCAGTGATACCCGAACGTCCAGTTCCAAATTGTGCATGTATACTGGGAGTCTTCTTTACACAGAGGAGGTAGTGACAGAGTAACACAGGCTTCTGTACTGGGAACAATGCTTTTTACATGACACTGCATACGTTTTCGTTGCTATGCAGATGATACCTTTATCTATGACATTAGATAACACAAATTCAATAAACTAAAAACATTTTTTTAGATGACCTCTGAATCCTGAAACACTAAGATTACTGTACTCAACCCTAAAAAAAAATATCAGAAACAGGGTGTCTAACCACATATTTACACTGGATGTCATCACCTTAATCTCCAGCAAAACTGTGAGGAACCAGGATACATCCATCAACATAAACATTAACCAAATATTGGAGTGCTTTAAAATTACTTGAAATACACTGAGCATTAAGTATTTTCGAATAATTTTTGATATGATTTATTCATTTTTGTTGAATTTGATTCTTGACTTGTGACCTCTGTAAACAGGATTCTGGTGAGTTTATAATCTTAATCTGTAGTTTAGAAACTTAGTTAATAACTTAAAAGAGTGTGTATTATTTAATGACTTGTGACTGACAAGTTGTCAGTGTCTTCAGTTTGCCAGTCAGGACTAGACAAACATCTGATGCAAATTTTGTTTTCAAAACAAGACCAAGAGGCCATGCGGGTTTTCTCGGCCCTGGAATTCATCCACCCATCAGTTGACTTAACCACTTATTCAATTCAGTGTCAGAGGAGGACCGTGATCCCAGAGCAGCCACAGAGCAACAGTCGGGGTGCACAGTCATCCAGTCACTTATTTTATTAAAACTAAATATACCGGGGACCACTAGGGGGACGTAAGGAAGATGGCAGCATAAACCTGCAGCTCCCGGTCAAAACTCGAAAGAGAACCAGAATTCGAATATTTCCACCGCTAAACCGTGTAATAAATGCCATGGAAGGTGGAAGAAGGTCAAAAAGACAAGGAAACATTAAGGATTTTGTGAAACAAGTGGAGCTGGTAAGAGGGGGCAACGCAGACATGTCCGAGAACAGCGTGCAAGGCGAGCAGATGGAAGGAGATGTAGCTAGCCACCCTCACGCAGACTTCCAGGACATCATTAAGGAAATTCACTCACTTAAAGCAGAGTTTAAAACCGAGTTTGCCACGTTTAAGAAAGACATCACACAAGAAATGAAGGACGAATTCGACAGCTTCAAGAAAGACATTAATACAAAGCTGGCAGAAACTGCGAACGAGCTAGCTAGCCATGAGACCAGACTCGAAGAAGCTGAGGAAAGACTGGAAGAGATGGAAAGGTGGAATTTGGCCGCAAAAGACGCTCTAATCCAGTCGCTTCAGCAACAACGGAATATTCAGACGAAACTGGCTGACTTGGAAGGCCGTAGCCGACGGAACAACATTCGCATTTTCGGCCTAAAAGAGGGCTCTGAAGGAAACTCTGTGCTGCAGTGTGTGGAGGACTTGTTGAGAGCTGAGCTTTCGCTCCCGCCGGATTCTGCTCTAAATATTCAGCGGGCGCACAGAGCTCTGGTGCCAAAACCCGGACCAGAAAAACCTCCGCGATCGGTGGTGGTTAATTTTCTTCAGTTCTCAACCAAGGAGATGGTGCTGAAGGCAGCGTGGAAGAAAAAGGCTGTACATCAGGATAAGCAGCTTTTCTTTGATCATGACTACGCTGCCGACGTGGTTCAAAAGAGGAAGGAATACGCTGGAATTAAGAAAGCCTTAAAAGAGAGAGGAATTCGCTTCCAGACGCCTCTGACCAGAATCAGGATCCACTGGGAGAGCGGCGCCAGGACATATGACAGTGGCCGGGCGGCGGCGGAGGAGCTAAGGAGGAGAGGAATACAGGTGGAGGTGCCGCAGCGGAGCGGGGAAAGCACGATGCTGGAGGAGCGACTGCAAAATGCATTGGGATGGCAGCGATCTAACACCGAGAACTTATAAGTGAGGATACAAACATTTGAATCCGGTGGAAATGACTGAACAGTAGAACTCTGAAACTAAAGGTTCATTACTCTGTTACTTTTCAAGGCAAGGTAGACCGGAAAGTGGTAGGTTTTCTTTTCTTTTTTTTTTCTTTTTTCTTAAGGAACCTATGTTGGATCTCACGGGGGCCCCTAATCTGAAAGGGATATACCCCACGAACCACAGGGACGCTGTGGGTAAGAAATACGTATTTTCAGTTTCTCTTAAGTTTCTTGTTATCTTGTTCCAAGTTCTTAGAGTTAGTGTGGGATGCTATGATAGTGATAAGCCAAAAATAAAGCAAAACTTAACAGTGAAAAGATGAGGAATATAACGCTGGTGTCAATGAATGTCAATGGGATGAATAACCCAATTAAAAGAAGCAAAGTGATACTCAAAATGAGAAAGCTTAATGCCAATGTAATATATCTTCAGGAAACACATTTGTCGCAGGAAGAGCATGATAAATTGAAGAAATTTGGGTACAGAAATTCTTACTATAGTACTTGCAAGAAAAGTCGTAAAAGGGGGGTAGCAATACTTATTAAAAATTCAGTTAATTTTGAATGTTCTAAAGAAATTCGGGACAGTGAGGGGAGATACATTATTGTAAGAGGTAAACTAGAAGGGGAGGCGGTGACACTAATCAATCTCTATATTCCCCCTGAGAGCAACCAACAAAATGTGAAGACTCTACTTACTACAGTCATGTCAGAATCTGAAGGGATTGTGCTGTGTGCAGGAGACTTTAATGTGGTATTCGACCATAGAATTGATACAACAAGCACAAATAGAAGCAAAAACAGCCTGGCGAGAATGGTTAATACATTTATGAAGGAGCATGGAATGGTAGATGTATGGAGGGAACACCACCCACTGGATAAGGAGTATACACACTACTCAAAGACTCACAACACTTACTCAAGAATTGACTATGTCTTAATGAACAGATGGGATCTACACAGAGTAACTGAATGCACAATTGGAGTGGCAGATATTGCTGATCACTGTGCCATTCATTTAAAGCTAAATCTAAATAGTAGGCGTAGAAATACCTGTTGGAGGTTAAATCTGAGCTGTCTGAATAATAAAGAAACGAAAGACCAAATCAAGAAAGATATAAAGCAATACATAGAGGAAAACTCCACTGAAGAAATTAGCCCAACGGTGTTTTGGGATGCATTCAAAGCTGTGCTCAGAGGGAAGCTTATTGCTATAACTTCAAAACAACACCAAATGAGGAAGGCCCTGTACCTAAGCCAGGTGGAGGAATTGAAAAACACAGAAATATTATACCGAACAACTCGGAATGTTCAGCTCCAAGGCAGAATTAAAACACTAAAAAAGGAAATTGACAATATATTGACTGAAGAAGTGGAAAAAAAACTTAGATTTTTGAAACAGGATTATTATGAGAATGGCCCAAAGGAAGCTAGACTGATAGCACGGCGTCTTAGACAGCAGCAAGCTGTTAATACGATTCACAAGATTAGAGACCTATCTACAAATAACTTGCAGTATACCCAGGAAGCAATAGAAGAAACATTTAAGAAATATTACGAAAACTTGTATAAACAACCATGTTCCTCAAATAAAGATGAGAAAACTGCTTTTCTTAACTTCCTAGACTTGCCACGTATTGGTACGCAGCAAAACAGCAAACTGACTGCCCCCATCAGTCATGAAGAAATATCTAGAGCAATTTCCAGTCTGAAAGCTAATAAATCACCGGGGGCCGATGGGTTCCCCTCAGAGTGGTACAAGAACTTTAAGGAGGAGTTGATACCAATGCTTCAATCATCATTCAATCATACCCTTGCGGAGGGTGTAACACCTCCCTCATGGAGAGAGGCGATTATCTCAGTAATCCCTAAAGAGGGAAAAGACACCGAATATTGTAACAACTACAGACCCATATCGGTTCTTAATGTGGACTACAAAATATACACATCTATAATCGCTAAGCGATATGGAGCAATTATGACAGACTTAATTAATGAAGACCAAACTGGCTTTATCTCAGGACGTAGAACTCAAGATAGTATAAGAAGGACCCTCCAAATAGTTAACTCGATACAAACAAAAAAGGGCAGTGCGGCCCTAGTAAGCCTGGATGCAGAGAAGGCTTTCGACAGTGTAGATTGGAACTTCCTATATGCCGTGCTTGAAAGGTTTGGTTTTGATGACGGTGCTGTGATGTGTATCAAATCTATTTACCAATCTCCTACAGCTCGAATTAGAATCAATGGCAGCCTAACGGAGCAAATCTCTCGAGAGAGGGGTACCCGTCAGGGTTGTTGCCTCTCACCTCTTCTCTTCACTCTATATATTGAACCCCTGGCACAGGCCATCCGACAAAGTGAGGAGGTGAGAGGAATAAGTATTAAAGGGGAAGACCACATCATCAGCTTATTTGCAGATGATATCATACTCTACCTAGAAAATCCAAACCAAACTTTAATTCCAATGTTTAATGTAATTAATATCTTTGCTGAACATTCGGGGTACAAAATTAATGTGACCAAAACTCAGATACTGGCTTTCAACTATTTGCCATCTGAAGAGGTTAAAAATAAGTTTAGACTGAACTGGACTGCAAAACAAATGAAATACTTGGGTGTAACCGTGACTAAACAATTGAGTGACCTTTTTAAAACAAATTATGATAGGCTGACCACTCAGATTAAACACGATCTAAACCGATGGTCAACTCTTACACTAGACTTTAGTGCAAGAATCACAACAATAAAAATGAGTGTCCTCCCACGGTTATTGTACCTTTTCCAATCTCTGCCAGTTAAGATCCCAGTGGAAAAATTCAAGGACTGGGATAGGCTCATCTCTAGATTTGTATGGAATGGTAAAAGGCCTAGAATAAAATACACAACATTACAACTATCTAGGAAGCAGGGTGGTGTGGGACTCCCTAATCTAAAAGATTACTATCATGCGGCCCAAACCAGACCGGCGATAAAGTGGTGTGATCAGAACTTTAATGCTAAATGGAAAGATATTGAAATAAAAGTACGGGATGTCCCAGTCCAGACTTTTCTTGGAAATGAGCAACTTAAGAAAACCTTACAGCATTTCCTTGATCCTATAACATCCCACACTCTAGAGATATGGTTTGGCCTAGTTAAACAAAGTAAGTTGGAAAGGGAGGTTAAGATGTTAAACTGGGCTGCCTATGTTGTTGGTGATATACTGAGTGCTCACGACCCAGGATTCAGGAAGTGGGAACAAAAAGGAATAACAGCGATTTGTACAGTAATGAAAGATGGCCATTTGATGAGTTTTCAAGATTTAAAAGATCGGTATAGTCTAGAGAAAACCAATTTTTACCGGTACCTGCAACTCAGAGACTACTTTTCAAAGGAAATACAAAGTTCGCGTACGTCTTATGGCATCCTGAATTGTATAATTAAATCATACAGGGGCCTCCAATTCAAGGAGATTTCTGTACTATATAAAAATCTAAGAGAGAACACGGCAACATCAACTGAATACATAAAAAAGAAATGGGAGCAGGAAATAAAAACTGATATCTCAACTGAGGAATGGTTAGGTATGTGTGAAACCCAGAACACAACGACTAACTCAAGATGCTGGAGAGAATTTGGGTGGAAACACCTTACTCGATTCTTTATTACACCAAAAATCAAAAGTAAACAGACTCAAGACAGTTTGCCATGCTGGAGAAGATGTGGTAACATGGAAGCACATCATACGCACGTGTTTTGGGAGTGCCTGAAACTGCATAATTTTTGGAAGAACGTGAGTCTTGTAATAGGCAATATCTTGGGCTACCAATTACCACACAATTTTAAAACTGTATATCTTGGGAATATTAGAGAGTATGTTCTGTACGACGACTTGTATTTGACAAAAATCCTATTGATAGCTGCAAAGAAAGCTATAACAAGAAACTGGTACAAACTGGCTCCGCCTTCATCACAAGACTGGTTAAATATTGTTGGAGAAATCTATGCAATGGAAAAAATGACTTACATTCTCAGATTAAAGGAAGATATTTTCGTTGCTAAGTGGGAGAAGTGGACATTGTATGGCACCAAGGAAAATTAATGAACGAACAAAACATTTAAGGTCTATGACTCTGTATATCTATTGATGCATGCCTGTATAAAAGTACATATATAAGCTGGAGTATGTATGCTGCTGAGCAAAGGCAGGCATGCATACGGTAGTTGATTAGAATTGGCACCCACACCTTCTGTTCGCTTTAGTTCTGTTTTGTTTTGACTGTGTGCTTGCATGGTTATTTCTCCTGTAATGCAAAACATGTCTATGTTTAAACTGTGACAAAACTATCAATAAAAATTACAGTGTCAAAAAAAAAACAAAAAAAAAAAAACTAAATATACCAAATATACAGCACAGTAAGAAAAACAGAATGTGAATACAAACTTTGAATTAAAATCTCATACACATTGATTGTTGCTATTTTTACAGTACAGCTTTTCTTTTCCAGCAAAGTGCAGCGTGTGATCAGCAATCCAGCAGATTTTAGCTGAAACTAAACTGATCGACAAAGAGGTTTTCAGGCGATGATGTCTGTAACGAAGCTAAAGTTGGGCAGATGTCCAGCTGAGATTCCCAGGACACGACTGGAGCAGGCGAGTCGACAATAAAAGAGAGGAATTCACTCAAGCTGGCCTGCAGTGAAACACAGAAGGTTTAGTTTAAGTTAGCTGCAGCAGGAAAGGGATAGGGTTTAAACCTGGAGATACTCAGAAGGTGATGCATGTGATGTGATGCATTCGATGTGTTGTGATTTACTTGCAACAGAGAGAGAACATTTAGGCTACGTTCACACTGCAGGCAAAAGCGCATCAAATCCGACTTTTCTGACCCTATGCGACCCATATCCGATCATGGTATGACAGTTTGAACAGCACAAATCCGATATTTTCAAATCCGATCTAGGTCACTTTCGTATGTGGTACTGAATCCGATACATATGTGTTTTAGAAAACACTGCTGTTTGAAGTTTGTGACATGACTAGTCGCATTAAATCTGTTTTTTACATCACTGACACAAGACAGACACCAATTATCAGCGCCGGAGAAAACATCGCGAACGCTTCCTGGCCATCCAGTGTAGATGTCAGTGAAGCTGTTGGGAAAACAACGTTGGAGAAACGTGAACATTTTATTTGTACTGTATAATCTGCAGATTCTGACAGAAATCTGCAACTATCCTTTGAAGCACCGCTCCTTTCTAAAACAGCAATAAGGATCATTATTAGGCCATATGTAAATAACTTTATAACTTAAAAAAAAATTGGGAAACGTAAAGTCCGAATAAAGTCTTTATATTAAGGCCATCAGTCAAACAATACTGTTTGGTCTGGGTCTAAACAGAGCGCGTCGTGTGTGACGTCTTCTTTTACGCATGCGGGCCGCTTTGAGGGCCGTGAACGGTTCACACTAGAGCGTGTTTGCTGTCACATTTTATTTTTAGTGTGAACAACCAGACAAAAAAATAAATAAATAAATAAATCGGATTTGATCAAAAAAAAAATCGGAATTGAGCATTAAGACCTGCAGTGTGAATGTAGCCTTAGTCTCCTTTAAACATATTTTTTTCTTGTGGTCTTTTATGCAAATAAAAGAAATGGCTGTTTGAACACGGCACAAAGCGGGCTCATTAAAGACAACCTGTAAATTTTGAAATTATCACTGGAGGTACAGATACAGTGTTGGTGAGGGAAAATTACTGTGTGATCGTTGGGATCTTCTGTCGTACGTCACTTTTAGTATTCATGTTTTCAACAGGCTACAGCTAAATGGTAAATAAGCTGTTCTTAAACCAGATCTTTAACGAGATCCAGATCCCAACGAATTAAGTCTATTTAAAAGGGCTGCGGGAAAATAAACCTAAAAAGAAATAATAAACCTACACTTGTTTCCAGGTCATTGTCCATTTCCATCATGTGGATCTCATTGGGTGGAGAAGGAGGTGGCGTAGGATCGCTGTACAAAAACAAACAAAAAAAAGATTGTAATAATGAATAAAAATTAAATTCAGACACACTGCAGAAGCATTTTTGTTACTGTTACTTACTTTGATATAAAAGAAGGTATTCTGCGGTGATATCCATCCCCTGAAGGTTCTGATGTTTCTGGGTGGACAGATAGGATTGAGCTCATTACACAGAAAGTAAACTGGATCATCTCAACATTATTTGAAATGGTAAACACTTTATGACAGAGTTTATCTTTATCTTATGACAGAGTACCAGACAAAATTTATATTCACTGTTTTCTACAGGATTTTTATTTATTTATTTATTTATTTATTTAGTTGTAATTTTCATGGAGGAAGTGATGTGAGAGGTGATACCGGGGGATTTGTAGCGTCCGAAGGCGGTGTCTTTGGGGATGTCGGGGTAAAGATAGACCAGGGGATTTCTGCTTCGCTGGGATGCCAGACTGTAGCGGTAAATGATATCTGGCAGAGGTAACACCGACAGCTCTTTCTTGGTGTATGGCTGTACTGCATGCACATGAGGCTCTACAGGGGGAAAAACACATATCAATACAAAGCAGGACAAACCACTGCAGTCAGCAAACACACAATTTAAGGTAAATATACTTTATAGTGAATACATAATTATAACTATTCTATTTCCTCCAGCAGAGTTATTTAAATTGTCCTCAGTGGGCTCAGTGAAGACAGACTCAGAAACATACCATCGTTGGAGTGGTCGACCCAGCTGAAGGTGACGGCGCCGTCTCTGCTGCTCTCACTGAACCGGATCAGAAAAGTACCGGCCTTTTTTTCCTGCAGCAGGAGGCGTGTCCCCTCCCTGCTCACGAACCCCATGATGGATCTGAAAGTCGCACACAGGAAACGCCACACCCTTCCACATTAGCACATCATCCGTATATGACTGTAATACAACTTTAAGAAATGTTGCTAATCTAAGTTTGGATGTCAGTGTGAAGTCGTACCCATCACGCCAAAGATCCACCAAGTGTTTCTTGATTAAATCGAGGATGCCATCGATCCAGATCCAGGCATTTTCGTTCTGCCTCACAGGAAAACAAAGAGTCAAGCCCCTGTGTGCTTGCTGTCAGACTCAAGGAAACTACAGGAACTTATCTTAAGACCCACCTTGGAGAAGCTGCTCCAGAACACAGGATCATCATCATCTGCAGCAGCACCAACTGTTACATTTAAAAAAAAACAAAAAAAACCAAACAAACAAACAAACACATTACCATAAAGTGTTTTATAGTATTTATAAATTTTAATATTAGATAGTATAGTACATGTGTAATCATTGCACTATTTGTTTGTTTGTTTTTACCTGTGCACATATTTTTTATTCTTCATGTGCACGTTCAAATGTTTGCACATCAGGGCTAAGCTACTTTGTATTTTGTGCTAAGCCAACTATGTACTCTGCTTTTTACTGTATGCTACAAGCTAATAATGTATTTTCCATGCTAATCTATGCTAACAATCTGCTTTGCATGCTAATTGTATCATTTCAGTAAAAATAATAGTGATTTCCAAAATGCGAAAAACTATTTTTGTACTGGTCAGTACTGATTTTATATAAAAATATACATTTTTTAAACATGCAAGTAAATATTTTTTTTACTTTGATCCTTAGTGATATTGTTTTTCAAAACCAAAAAATATACAGAAACGTCAGGCTTTTAAGACTACACACAATATGCAAGATATATCTTTATATACACAGCTTAATAACTAAAATGAGCTCTAAAATTAACTCCCATCAACAACGCAAATGAAATATAAATGTCTTTTTAAAAAGTAATTGCAAAAAATTAGCTTAGATTTTATTTACTTACCCATAATTTTGTCTCTTAGCATGAAGAGCTGCATTTCATCGAGCCCTCGTTTGCCAACGGTCAAAAACTGCCAGCTCAGCACCTGTGACAGCTGCTTCCAGGTGAGAGGAGGAGGATTCAGGAACAGTGACAGGTCCTAAAGGGAAAAGTCACAGAACCACAATGAAGTTTCCTGACTTGTCTTAACAGATGTTACTAGTGTTTGTTGGCTGTAACAAAATTTTACCCAAGGTTCACTGGTGGACACCATGTTCCACCACATGATGGAGGCCCAGGCATTGGGGACTTGATTCGTGCTGGAGATGACGACCACGGGCAAGGAGCTGGCCTGGACCGACAGCAGAGGAGGAAACCAGTCAATAAAAGTACAAACCCTCCACCACAGCAACCATTTTTAAAGATCAGGACTAGAGAACGCCATCAAAGCTGAAGTTCATGCTGCTTACCTCGATGTTGCACGTTTGTCCTGCGTACTGAAACTCTGTCACAAACTTGATGATGTGCAGCTCTTCAGTGACTACCAGATGGTTCTAAGGGAAAAGAAAGAAAGTAACATGAGTAAGGCAGCAGCTCACGTCTCTAGTATTTACCTCTGCTTACCCTCAAGATTTTCCATCAAGATTTATAGGACTACATACTACTGAAACGTGTACAGTATAGTAATGCTCATAAATGCTCATGTGAAAAAAGACAATTTAAAATAAACTTCTCTTACCGCAGATGAGCTTTTGCTTCTTGATTTTCTTTCCTTGAGCGACTGAAAAAATAAATTTTTTTATAAGAAACTACAAGCTGTACTGTATAAAAGAACATATGAATGCACAATGGTTAAACATAAAGCTTTGTTAACGTTGAGGATTTTCATACCATGTGCCCAAATTCTGCCATCAAGCCTCCATCTGTGTCCTCGTCCAACACCTTACAGTCGTCTCTGTTGAAATCAAAGAGACGGAACCTGCGACAAGTACAAAAAGCATCAGTACTCATTTATTACAGAAATATAAACTTTCATAAATGTATATTTCAGATTTTAGTCTACCTACCCTTTCACTGTCTTGGCTTCTGCAACATCCCTTATTTTGGTGGGGAGAAAAAAGACAAAAGGTTTAAAATTTAAAAAAGGTCTTTTTAAAATAAAAGTTCAAAAAATAAATATTTCCATCTGAACTCTATGCCACTCTTTCAGACCAGCTTTTCTTTCACTTACTTGTCAAATACAGGTTTGACTCTGAACCTGCATTTGAATTCAGGGATGTTTGCCAGGAACCTGAAAAGAGAAAAGACATTTCTTTATGTTTTTTTAGTTTAGCACTGGTTATTTTGGGCCCAGTAAACACGTAAAAAGGTCTAAGTAAGCTCATAAACTGCTTTCAGTCAAAATGTCTCATCTCAAAACGTAGCTGCTAACTCCTGTGCTTGTTAAGAAACAGTTTGTCTGTAAGAATAATTAGCAGGTAAAAGGAAAGTATACCTAATGAGGTCCATCTGAGACCTCAGAGAGAAAACTGCAGTCAAAATAAGATGAACGTCAGTTTAATAAAGAAATGTTTTAGTTTTGGGGATCAGACCTGACCCTAAACTGTGTAAAGGCCACAGAAAACTGTGGGCAATATAAAGTTTTCACTGATTTTCACATTTGACCCCGTTTTCCCCCAACATTAAACTGCTAACAAACAGACAGACAAAAGGAACTGATTACATACTCCCATTACATTGAAGCGGTGAGTGACATGAAGTCCCAGCTGACATTTGGGTTTCTCAGACATACACGTGTATAAAGTCAGTGCATGCTTACCTCACTGTGATACTGAACTGCACCCCGGTCTTCAGTATCAGAGGACGCTGTGGAAATTTCTGCATGACGGGCTGTTTCTCCACCACCAGAGCGCTGCAATGCCAGACCACAACAGAACATGTCACTATTCATACTGTTGGTGCATCAGTGTGTGTGTGTCTATACATGTAAAAAAAGAGTGACTCACTTTGTGACTAGTTTTATTAACAAGGACAGCCCAAATTTCTCCATTTCTGGGATTGAAGTAGGGGGACAGAAGGCAGGGTCAGTGCTGCTGTATTTGCTGTTCTGGTCTTGAAGTTTCTTCAGCTGTTCGCAGACTCCTAGCAGCACTTCGGCGACAGTCGAAAACCTGCACACAGAATAAAACAGGCACAAGTGCTGAGTGTAAAAAGTCAGAGGAAAAACAGATTCTCTTAGACATGCAAAGGTGAGCAGAACAAATGAGCTCTAACCACTTGTCCAGGTGGTCCAGACTGGTGTCATCTTGACTTCCAATGCAGGCCAACTGCTGCCTGCGCTTCCACTCTGGCAGCTCCACATCAGTGAGAGTCGCCACAACCTTTTCTGTCTGCTTTAAAATGTTAACCAACTGATGCAGCACATTCTGCAAGACAAAAAAAGAAAAGATTCATATGTGCGCATAAGAGAGGGAAGAGGTTTCACCATCTGACCAGTGCAGACATGATCTCTCACAGCCCGCAATAAAATCTGAACACAGCAAAATAACAGTTAAGGAAAGGTTACCCACCGTAACCCAAGGTTCTATGAGTATAACTCTGAGAGCTGTCATCTATGTTGCTGTTGGCTGTATCAGCTTATATGACTTATTTGCATTTCAAATGGCAACGTCTGAAAGGGGAAGACTGCTACGCAAAGTTGACTTAGTCCTACTGCCTATAGGTTGCTGGTTTGTTCAACCAATCAGTGCAAGGCATTTCCACCTATGTTTTTGCTCAAAAATATTTCCCCAGAAAAACAATGTTGCATTTAGTCATGATTTGGCAAGCTGCCAACATCAACATGACGCCGTGACAACATTGCTCCATGGTCACAATGCAGCCGTAACGTTACAGTACAGTGTAAATGCGATGTCACATTTATGCTGTAAAAACATTTACAATTACAGTTTTGTAATGTTACTGCGACCTAGTTTTACATTTCATGCTAGGATTAGGTAATTATGTATTATGTAATTTGAAACATGAAGTAGAACAGACCAATAGCAAATAATAGATGTTTCTACTAAACTGCCCCAACCAGTTTGTTTCTAGATTTCTATGCAAACAATCATGAAAGAAATCTATGACATGAACATTTTCTATGAAGCTTTCATAATAATTGCACAAAATATCAAAATGAATGTGGTTTATCCATTTAGACTAGTTGTTGTAGAGACCCACCCTTTGGCACATCCCAGCACACCCACTCACTTCACCAGATGCACCTTGTTTAGTTCTCTCACCTTTGATTGGGTGTGGTGCTTGTCCTCAATTGCACTCACCTGTCACACATTATATGTCACACATTATATAAGGACTGCATTCACTTTTGGCTCACTCCTTCTTCACTTCCACATGGGGCGGCAGCTGAGGTGAGGTTCTATTTGGGTTTTATTTTATGTCTTGTTTAAGGGAATGAGTAACTTAAATCTGTTTTCCTGTTTTCTTTCGGCTGTGGCAGTCCATGTGTGTCTTTGTTTCCTTCCTTCTTTGCCTTATTTATTTGAGAATAAAAGGAGAACCCGGAGAATAATTCTGAATTAGATGGCTGCTTATTCTTATTCTAACCGGATGAGCCCATGATGCTAATTGCTTAAGCCCTGAACCTACCTTCCTTCAAAACACTAGTTTACACCACTAATGCCAACATTTCATCAAACATTTACCATATTATTATTATTTATCATACCTCCTTTCTTTCTGTTATGGAGACTGCATGTTTCTGACATGCCTGCTCAACAATATGTTGGGACTGGGCCATATCAGTGTGCTCCTCCACTGGAAAAGGAAGACAAGACACTTGTGTCAAAAACAACTGAGTGACAAACCAGACCTGCCAATCCTGCCAAGCAACTCCTGGGCTGACAAATGGGACTGAACTAGTGGCCACTTGAGGTTGACTCTGACAGTGAGTCAGAGTCCCCATAGACTCCCATATTAAAATGCCCAAATTTACGCCACAACATCACCTTGTTTTCAGCCTGTTACAAAAAACAGGTTTAATCTTTGCAGATACTTCCCTCCTTCCCTACTTTGAAGGGCATGGCCAGTTTGACAGGTGACAGAGGCATCGGTAACTGTCAGATGTCTGCTGGGCTTCCGCTCAAATAACTTGAGTCACTGCAGTGTTTGTGCCTTTTTAACGATGGGCAAGGGCTGTGTTGAGTTACGGCCTCAGTTTTGATTAGTGAAATTTCTAGGCTTTTATTACTAATCACACTGCTAAAATTAATAATTTAATGTCGTCCATACTTCAAAAACCAGTAGGTAATGGCATGGCGACTATGTCCATCTTTTATATACAGTATGTGGTCGTGCTATCGTACCTTTATTTTGCCAGGCCATCAGAATATAGTCCAGTTTTTCATTCAGACCCTCCAGTGTCTTGATTTCCTTCTTGGTCTCCTACATTAGAGTAAAAGTGCATTGGTTTAAAAACCAAGAGGAAAACATTTATCCTTCTTGGAAGGCTGAAAATAAAATCCCAGTAATCTTACCAAAGTCTGTTGCTTCAGTTCATTGACTTTGTCGTCCAACTCGCTCCAGCTTTGTTGCATGCTTGAATTATTGCAACTCTGACAAAAACAAGAAGGTTCTGTCACATGTTTGCAATTATTATCAAATATTTATTTATAATTAAAATTTATATTTACTTTTCCTTTCCTCTGGTTGTGATCACAGTTTCGCTCTAACGTGTTGCCATATTTGCTTTGCTATGACTCACAATGCTACGTTTTCTGTTAGCATGAGCAATTTTTACAGTTCCACCTACTCACTGGTCCGGGAAAATGTATTTCTGCCGTTAATTGTAACTCTCTCTATAAGCAACCCAGGCACATGTTTACAGTTAGTGTGCATCAAAGTTATGATTCTACTAAAATCTTTTCATATCTACTTTTGGTTAACTGCAGTGACCTTGGGACAGACCTGTCTGTGTAAATATGACTTAGGAATGAAACCAGGCTCTTCATTAGAACAGCATTTAACTGACCTGAGGCTGAGAGACCGAAGCCAGAATTTGCTTTTCCTCCTTCAGGCATTCAGACAGAATTAGGGCCAATTTCAGCGGCTCACCCTCGAAATGCCCCTAAGGAGCAGAAAGAACCACGCAAATCATTACTGGAAGTGCATTTTCAAATAATAAAATTTTTTTTCTGCACAGAGCATCATATCTGTTCTACCAGCAGGTAGTCCTTCATCCTGGAAAAATCTGGCCCCTGCAGAATATTGTTCTCCTGAACAGAACGATACCACTGCTCTTCTAGAAACACCAGGAGAGCCTGGAAACAGGTTCTGGCTCTGTGCTCGTCCACAGCTGCCGAATCCCTAATGCAGAGAAACAGAAGATTTAACTGCAGGACTGCATCTGTTTGCATGTGCTGAAAAACAATTTACGATTTCACAATCTTCCTTACATCATACTGGACAACTTACTATATTATTAAGTTAAAGCTCTTTAATCTTAGACCATAACTATTTTCCCTGCTCCTGCATCCAGCCCCGTCTTACCAGTCCTGGTTCTCGATCCAGGTGCTCAGATAGTGGCGAATCTCTTTGGGAAATCTTCTCTCGTACAGCTGGCAGACCCGGCTCTGGAGTGCAGAGTCCAGCTTCAGAAGGGCCTGCCACTGAGCCATCTGCAGTCACAAAGACACGAACCTCTTTTTACGAGTTCAGGGCCTCTGATTGGTCCACAGATGTGATAGGAGTCTTTACCGTTATTTTCCTCCATTTTATTAACAGAAATACATCTTACGCTAGAGTAATTTAAGATAGTTTTATATAGATTAAAAATCTGTTTTTACGTGTGGCCTGGCCAAGAGGGCAGCCATGACTATAACCATATATAATCATACAAATATGACTGACGCTCACTGAAAATGTGTACCGCCAATCGTCAGATCACATGCTGTAACAAGTGAATAACAAGTGCAGTTTCAAAAGTGATTACACTGACAGTTTCCTTAGTCCTTAAAAGCTGACTTAAACTCCCATGCAGTTCTATTTATCTTATTTATCAGCCAAAGGGAATGTCTGTGGACACAGAACGTGGAAATCTCAAAATAATTCGAATAAGCACAGCACCAAAGTGAGGTGTGAGTAATGATGACCTGATTAGTTTTATGTGTTTATGTAATGCAAAGCGATTGTGGTGGCGTATTGATGTCGCCAGCTATCGGTAAATAATGTAACTGAGCTCACTGGAAAGTTTTGCCCCGCTCTTTAATATAATCGGAGGGGATTTCCAAGAAATGCAACAACACCGCAGCAACTTCAAGAACCGAGGATTTTCATTTATTTACATTTGCCTTTTTAACAGCTTTTATCAGACAATTACCTACTTCTAAAAATCAGGATCGCGCACATTTTGGAGGAAAAGTGGGCCATAAGCTGCGCACAAGGCTGCCCGCAATAGAACTAAAGTTGTTTCTTTGCGCAGAAATCATGACTTACCTTGGTGGGTGGCTCTTTGTCGGACAGGTGAAAGCAGGACAAAAATCACAAGCGACCTCCAGCCTTCTGATCTGGCTGTTAATTCTTGCCTTAAGAACGAGGACGCGAACTTCCGTTGCACACGCCCACTCACACTCACCACGTGATTCTCCAGAACTCGTCCTGCTGAGTGCGTAAAGCTGGAGGCCGCACAGCTCGACATCCGGCAAGTCACAAAGTAAAGAAAAAATAACAACAGCCAGATGTTGAAACCCTGAAAACAGCTGTTTTCTGTGCAGGTTTCAGCTCAGTTTGGTGGGCTGTTGCACATCAGCGCGCATGAACCCGTTTTTATCCGTTTTTTTCCACAATACTTTTTCTTTCTGCACATTTCTATTGCACTGTTGTGTCTGCACTGTCTTGTGTCTGTATCGGTCTGTACTGTCTGGTGTCTTTGTTTTGGATTTTTGCACCTTTTCCCCACACTGCTAAATCCCTGTAATCTCTTCCCAACAACCTTTTTCCTATTTAGAAACAAAATTACCCTCTACAACATGGGTCTCACACTGGCAGCCCGGGTGCCACTATATTGACGTGAAGAAATATAATGCAGTTTGGCTCTTGAAGTTACTTTTTTTTGTTAGGGAAGATTTGTTTGTTGTTGAGTGCAATGCTAAAATAAGTTATTTAAAAAGCAAAAAATGAGTTAATATGAAGGCAGTATAAGAGAATTATTTGTAAGGAAAACTATTTTCACAAGCAGTCAAAAACTGTCTGCATTTCATAAATACAAAAGAAATTACAGCAGAAGTGCTGCCAGATGTCTGGACAGAGTTCCAATGTGTTTATTTGGAAGTTCAATGAAAGGCTTAGAGAGGGGAGAAGGAAATTCGTTCACATTTGCAGTTTCGTCTTGTTGTACAATATTTGAAATTTGAAAAAACAAACAAAACACTGGGAATATTTGTGGGTGTTTTCTCATTCGTTTGTCCTACTTGAACACTAAAATGGTCCTCACATGAGATGACAGTGCCAGCAGTGGCCCACAGCTCATTTAAGTTTGAGAACCCTGCTCTATAATGTAGGCAACAAAAAAAATAGAGCTATGTTTTATTATCCTTCTTTTTTCTGCTCATGTTCTACTTTTCTGATTCAAGGTGAACACATTTATTAGAATTAAAATTTATACTGAAATCAAGTTTATACTACTATGTTATTTTATTATTAATACAGCACAAGATTCAGTTGCCTTTGTACAAAAACAGCTGGTAGAAAAGTCCTCCAAAGAGCTACTTTTACATTCTTACTTTGAGTAAATATCAGAGACAGTACTTTTTTACTTGAGTAAAGAAGTTGAATCAGTACTTGGATTATGTTTTAAACACTAGCATCTGTACTTCTACTCAAGTACAGAATGTCTTACTTTTGGCACCTGCGTTACTAATCTGAAGATCCAGGGTTTGATCCCTCGGTCCTTCAGTCTGCATGCAGAAGCATCCCTGGACAAGAACAGACACTGAACCCCCATCCATTCACTGAAAAATGCTGTAGCTCCACCTACCACCCCCGCTTCCATGTTACTTTTCTTTAAACTAGAAGTGGCTATATTTGGATGAGAGGATGGGGAGCTGAGCTTTCAGCTCACAAGTTTCCTCCATTACTCACACAGGTGTAACTCACAGAGACAGAGTCCAGAGGTCAAATTCTGGGACTCAAAGGAGTGGAAATGCCGAAAAGACATTTAACACCTCCCTGTGTCTGAACACACCTGTCAGTCAAAGCACCAAGATTTACTTTTTATTTTGGCATTTTTGATCTTCTGTAATACAAAGTTGTACTTTTTAAGTCAACATATTCTTTAAAAAAAATGTTCAGCCATGCTGTTGCATAATAACCTGACTGTGGTCAGAGGTTCACACATACAGTAAATAATCTGATTAGGAGTAATGGGGATTCATGAATAACATGGTATAAATAATGATTTATTCTTTATGATAATAATTTCTGAGCAGCAGCAGCAACACTGAGACACCTCAGCCGTGTTTTTTGCTGTTGTTGGTTTTTTTGTTGTTGTTTTTTTTTTTTAACTTCCGCAAGAACCCAAATACAGCCTCACCCTTCAACAATCACCGAGAATCACGTGATTCTCCAGAAACGCCGTAAGTAAAAACCGCCAAGCAGCAGCAGCTGTTACATGCCGACGTCTCACTTCCTACTGCTTTCGAAATAAAAGCACAAAACCTCGGTGCTATTTCAGTGAGGTGGCCAGCAGGGGGCAGGAGAGCTGAGCGACTGTGTGAATGAGTTAGACAAAGGGAATCAAAACACTGCGTGTATTTAACTTTTTTGCCAATAACAAACAGGTAAAAGAGACAGATGCAGACAAAGTATCAAAATAATGTCAACTACAAAAAACATAAACAAAACATGTTCAGATTGATTTATATACAATTCATTTCTTATAGAAAAACATGACTGAACATGCAAAATATTAAAGGCACAAAACCAGCATGATACAAACTTTTCTTTCATGGACAACAAAGCAAAATATGCTTTAAAAACACATTAACCACAAACTCTGTAAAAACAACACCCTCACGGGAGTCACGATATTGACAAAGGATTCAAAGAAGCTCCAGATGCAGATGTTTTTTTTTTCTTCCCTCTTTTTACTCTGAATACGGAGAGCTCATCTGTAAACGCAAAAAGAAGAAAAATATTAGCGGCATAACATCGGGACAGATTCAACAAATTCTAAGATTAAGCAAAAAGCAGTCTTCCGTTTCAGCAAGGCTAATCAGAGGCAGTCTTCAATTATTTAATCTCAGCCTGCGATCACAGGTCAACAAGAAATGTAATCTGATTACAGACAGACTGTCGGCAAACACAAAAAACAATTAAACTCCATTTAATCCAAACTTAAAATCCTAAAACATTGACTTCATGAATATTCACATCATGTCATGTGAGACAACTTTCCATCAGTGTGATTGATTACAACACAATTCATCAATCACTGATCAGTGTGCCATGTTTCAACAGTGTTTGCAGAAATGTCTCTGCACTGTTCTCAGTCTTTACGCTCAGGAGTTAACGATAATAAAAATGCTTGCTATAAATACAGAAAATATACAAAACCCAGCTTTTTGGCGTTTGCCACTTTGGTCCTAGTCGCAGTAATGTGTAACCTCTAACTTCTGATCTTTTATAGACTACGTTGACTTGAAACAAGCAGAATAATGAATTTACTGTTTTTATTATGAGGTTTCCAGAAGTTTTCCACATTTGACCTTTTTCTATTTTAGCTCTACTGCACAGAGCGATAAGAGTTAAAAGACACATACAGTGTCTTATTCATTTACAATAATAAAATGCATATTATTACCAGTATTATCCACTAAGTACAATAATGTAAACTTACGGTGTCGATGTCGAAGCACAGGTGCTCATTGAGCATGTCAAACTCTCCAGGTGTCATCGGGGGCTCCGGAGACTGACACGACCGCGGGGTGGTGCTCGCGTTGGAGCTGAAATACATTAAAAGAGACATTAAAATACATTTTGCCTGTTTTGAAATTCTGTTTAAGGTTAACTGAGCTCGACTTGACTGAAATATTAACTCACCGCATTTCTGAGATGGGGATCAGGGTTGATGGGATGTAAGGATGCACTGGAAGTTTAACAGAGGTTTATATTAATATTTAATTCGACCTGAGAATTAGCCTGAGAGTTTCCCAGCAAAAACTTGAACACTTCACCTCATAATTAGATCTTACCTTTGCTGGGCTGGCTGTTGTAAAGCCGCCCGAAGGCCTCGTCTTTGGGGATGTCGGGGTAGAGGAACTTGAGTGGGTTTTCGGGGACAACCCCGTCTGAGATTACTTTGTAGTCTCGAATGATGTCGGCGAACGGGAGCGCGCTGAGCCGGTTTTTAGTGTAAGGCTCCACAGAGTTAAACTTCACCTCACCTAGTGTGAAAAGTTACTGTTAGCAAACTTTGTTGTCCACTGTCAGCAAAGCAAGTAAAACCGCACAGATTTTCTATCAACAAAGTTTATTTAACGGTCTTATCATAGTTAAAGGTTTGGTATACATTTGCATTTTATTACCACACGTGGTCTGATGATGTTGGTTTATGGGAAATCTCACCGTTATCGCCGTGCTCCACCCAGGTGAAGGTGATTCCGCCGAGGTGGCTCTCGCTGAAGCGTAACAGGAACGTGCCTGGCTCTTTGTCCTTCAACAAGGCTCGCTCCATCTCTTTACTCACAAATCCCATGATGTAGCTGCGGAGGCGGAGAAAGACAAAAGAAATTTAGGTTTTTGGTTTCAGCCAGTGAGATCTGTTGTCCAATTTCACATTTTAGATCTGCCATTCATACGAAGTTTATCCTAATGCATTTTGAAGCTGCACATTTCTAAGACAGGGTTGTAGTCTGCAGGTGATATCTGGCACCTGCAGACATCCATTGATGCTATTTTTTGGGATAAAGCCTTTATAAAGGCGTCTAAATTTGGCTGACATACACACTTGAACTCATAATAATTTCTGTTGATTCAAACTCTAAAAAGACAAGAAATCCTCCCAAAAAACCCCTTAAAAATTAAAAAACCTCTAACTACTAAAGCAGCAGCATTAACAATAGATGTAAGCATTAATTACCTAATAGAAATGTATATTTATGCCACATTTTGTTTTCATTTAGTTCTGTATTTACATTCCATTTGAGTTTCCATGTATTTGTCCTTTCCATTTCCTTCTATGCAAATGAGGGCTTAAACTTGTCTCTGATTGGTTAACACCAGATGCTGTGCTCACGGCAAGAACGCATATTGATATTAATAAATTTAATGAAAATTTAATTTATTGTAATGTAATATTAAATATATTAATATTTTATAAATGTATCTAACTGTTCTGTCTTTCCCAACTGATGTTGGCAGTTTTGGTCCTTCATATATGTTAATGATAGCGGTTCATGTATCTAATAACCCTTTCATCTTTTTGTGGAGTTGTTTTTGTTTGTTTGTTTGTTTGTTTGTTTGTTTTTAGAAACATTTTCTGTTTATGATCTTTCAGCCGGGACACGATGACCTACTTCTCATTCCAGACCGGCAGCAGGTGCTTCTTGATGAGCTCCAGGATCGAGTCGAGCCACATCCAGAAGCTGAACGGCTTCCCTGGAATATTCTCCTGTATGATTGGAAGAAAAGAGAGTGAGAACCTTCTCGGAATTTAAATTGAAATTAGATACGATGTGGGATAAAAATACATGACCAACATTAACAACACGGCAGAAGGTTTTATGACTGCCACTAGATGGCACAATAACACAGAAAATAATGGTACTATGCCACTCATGCTCATATTATCTAAGACTCACCTTGGAAAACTTGGACCAGGACACTTGATAGTCGCTGCAGGAGGCATGCTGACCTACAGAGACAAAGAGAAACTATCATAAATGGCCGTCCCAGGAAAACAAGGTCAGCAGCTTTTTAGTTATTCTCTGAACTTGTTTTAGAAAATTCTTTGAACTCTGTGAGCAGCAGCACTAATGTACTAGTGTGACCTTCCCCGTGTGGGCATAAAGTGGTTTTACTACAGTTTCCGAGACAAACAGCATGTTGTCATGAAGCTTTGAGGTACGAGTTCTCATCAACAACAAACCCACCGAATCAAAACGCAGCGCATACGCAACGGCCTTTCATGGTGCCTTTTTCATAGGCTTCAACGGTAATCTGGGAAATTTCAATAAAAGGTAATATATCTTTCCTCCTGGAGCTTATTTATCTCATAGAGCAGGGTCTGTGGAATGATAATGAATATAAAAACCTGGTCATCTCTTCCTGCCTATGTTACATCCCGGTAAAGCAAAATTTTTAACCAAACAGGTAAAGGAAAGGAAAAGGATGTTTAGCTACAATAAAGATGAAAGTACAGAACCAATGTGTGAGAGAGAGAGAGATCTCAGGGTTTGTTTTTTGCCTTAATTCATTTATATTCATACAATTTACTATTTTCACACAGTGGGATGCTGAGCAGACAGATCAGGAGCAGGCGATATACAGCGGGGTGTAAAACTGTCTGCCCCATTCCTGATGTCCTTGTGTTTTGCATATTTATCACACTTAAATGTTTCAGATTATACAACTAATTTAATATTAGAGAACACAGCACGAGTAAAATATTTAAATGTAAATGATTATTTCATTGATTAAGAGAGAAGTTATCCAAACCCACCTGGCCCTGGTTGAAAAGGTGATTGCCCCTTTTGTTAAATTGTGATTAACCACATCGTTTGGAAAGCAAAGTTTAGCGTCACTAAACAAACTCAGGCCTGATTACTGGCAGACCTGCTGAATCAAGAAATCACTTTAACAGAACCTGTTTGACAAACTGAAACTAAATACCTCAAAAAGCAACTTATCATGAGCAAAATGAAGACTGGAGTGGCCTGCTCAAAGTCCTGACCTGAATCCAATTGAGAAGCTGTGGTTTATGCTGGAAAACCCTCCAATGTGGCTGAACTGCAACAATTCTACAAAGATGAGACAACTTCCTCCACAGTTATTAGGTTTAGGGGGCAATCACTTTTTCACGCAGGGTCATGTAGGTTTGCATCTTTATCCCTTAATAATAAACACCTTCATTTAGAAACTGCATTTTGTGTTTACTTGTGTTATCTTTGTGTATTATTTGAATTTGTTTGATGATCTGAAACATCAAAGTGTTACAAGCATACAGAAAACAGAGCATCAAAGAAGCTTCAGCTTCATTTTTAGCTTCTTTGATTTGTTGGGATCTGATTGGGTTAAAAAAACAAAACAAAAAAAACGCTGTTGTTCATCACCTTTAATGCTACTTTTGGTCTTTTAGAGTGATTTGTTTGACTCATCAGACCAAGCTCCCTGTTGTTTCACGTGAAGTCTGGCTCAGCTTGAAGCAAACGTGTTTGCTTTATGCATAAACGGAAGTGGTCAGCAATATATAAGAACAGCCACGCTGGAAGGGTGATTCACTGGATTTAAATGAGGTAAGGCTTTTCATTTTTATAGACCCTCTGATCGCCCCTCAGAGTTTCTCTGCTATGCTGACTTTGACTTTATAGCTGGACCAGTCTGATACTTGGCTCGAATAACGTTTCTGGTTCTTCCCCTTTTAAACTGAGCGACTTTCTGGAGTCTCTGCACCACCTACATGCTTGAATATCTCTGTTGGTGTGTGGTTTCACAATGACAGAGGTGTCGCTTCACCCTCCATAAACAAGTAAACACTCTCCCACCTCTCTTTAGATGTTTCTGCCTTCAGCTTTAACTTTCTGTCCTAATTAGCTTGTTAGCTTGCAGTTGTCTTCTTAAGTATAATATTTTACTGTTTGCTGTGTTGGAAGATGTTTTTCCAGGTTAACGACTTTAAAGCCACATTTTTTTTTAATGTATTTTTTCTTAATCTTCAACCTTTGCGAAAGAACAAAACTAAAAGACAAACATACCAAAGAGCTTTTCTCCCAGCATGGTGAGCTGCTCTTTGTTGAGGCCTCGCCCGGCAAAAGTGGAGAACTGCCAGCTGAGGACCTCAGAGAGCTGGCTCCAGCTGGCCCGAGGAGGGTTCCCAAAGAAAGCCAGGTTCTGTGGAGGAAGATGGAGAAGGTGAGGGAGGCTGTAAAGCATAAAAAATGAAAACAAACATCTCCAAAACAGCTGGAGAACATGAGCTACAGTTACAGAAGAACCAGAGTAAATGGAACATCAGCAGAATTTGTTGTCACGCTCTGGAAGTCAAAGACTTGGAATTTAAGTCAGTTTTCTTCTTGTTTTATTTATGAACTGATGTTAAACTCAGGAGATGGGGGTGAATTGCAAGATTTATTTGTAATTTATGTCATTTTGATGCTGTTAATCGCGCATCTGTTTTGGGAAAACCAATTTTAGAGACTTGAAAAATGCAGAAATGCCCTGTGAAGATCCGCACAACAGAGGTCGACTGAAAAAATAAAATCTGTTTCTTTCTTTATTATTTTATTTTATTTTAAAGATAATAGAAATGAATTTATAAAAACAAAGGCTTTTAACAAAGATGTCCAGGTGTGTTCAAATAAGTTGAGCTGAAAGTGAGGTTATGTTTGATTCAGCTCAACTTATTTCATTTAAAACTTAAACTTTCAAATGAATGAATTTTCTGTTTTTAGAAGAAGTCCAGTATGGCTCACCCTCGGCTCATCAGTCAGGAGGTTGTACCACATGACGGAGGCCCAGCCTCCAGGCAGCTGGCTCACATTGGAAATCACAACGAGCGGCAGGGAACACGTCTAGAAAATAAAAATAAATATTAGTAAATTATTTTGTAAATGAACAGCAACAAAAACAAGTTTGAAATAGATCTGCTCTGCCGCTGACCTCCAGGTCGATGGTGAGGCCCTGCACCGTGAAGCAGGCCTCAAAACTGAGAGAGTGAAGTTCTTCTGTCACAGAGAGCAGGCCCTGAAAAATAAAACACTGAAACATCAACTGGCGTTCAAAGGCAGATTCATTGAATATGATGCACAAATCCATCTGAAGCAGCATTAATGGTCACTGCGGAGGACAGAAACTGCCAAATCAGGAGCAAATGATGCTATACATCAATTAATATGTCATTAAATACATTAAATATTAATTAAGCCTATACATTAAATAATTTACAAACTATGGCACTGATAGTTTTGCTTCAATATTTACTTACCTTTGTATTAATTCCCTAATTTATCTACTTTCCCATTCAATGTTTACATTTATTTAAATGTATTAGTTACATGATGTATTTCTGAATCAACCATGAAGCATGGGGTTGTGTCATGAAGGGCATCCAAAAGCAGCTGAAAATCAATTTAGGTCATATCTTATAAATGAATAAGACCTATATGGATTTAAAATAATGATTTATTTACTTTAGAAATACAAATAAACACAATACACTGCAAATAATAAAAATATAATAAATAGAAAATTTTATGGGAAGAAAATACTACAAATAGTACAAAAAATGCAAAAGAATACCATTTTTTTTTTTAATCAATTTAGATTATTTAAAAAAATCCCTACACTTTTTGTGGACTTCATTAAATATGAACTTATTTACAGAGTCTCTTTTATTTGGCAGTTTTCGTCCTCCGTAGATCATCTACATTTCTTACCTCGTTCCCTTTGGTGCCGTTGATATATTTCTTCTCTTTCAGCTGCTGTAAAACACAAACTCTGAGTGAGATGACTAAACACCATTTTAAATAAATGGTTAAAGGTTCAATGAAAGAACCAGTTAAACAACTGTCAAGATTTGTTAGAGTTTTGTCCTACCAGATGTCTGAACTCCACTGAGAGGCAGCCGTTTGAGTAGTCCTCAATGTCCATAACTTTAGTGTTGTTGGTCAGGATGAAAAACTGACGACTTCTAAGGAGAAAAGGAGAAAAAACTTGATTTTCTTATCAATGTTTACCAGCATCCATCTATAAGATGGACTTAATTCAGAGGATGAAGTGTTTGTGGATTGTTTTAGACAATAACTTAAACCATATTTAAAATCTGTATGTAGTTTTCAAAATAAAACACTCCACTTATTTTACTGTAAAGGTTTTTAAATCAGGGCGATTTTAAGAAGGTTCAGCTGCAGACTGTCCTTCCTGCAATGTATAACACCGTATATAATCTGTCAATACATGTATAAATCTAAAACAGAGATCTATAAAAGAAAACCAAGCTGATTACATTTCGCTGTAAATTTTTTTTGTTATAATTTGCAGATGAAATCTTTAAAGCCCACATATCTTTATGGATTTTTGAATAACTGACAAGTCAATAAGTTATAACAAAGTCAAGTACATTATGCGAGTGTTTCCTGTCTTCCTATTTCCTATTGCTTTTCCTGTCTGTTCCAGTGCGCGGTATCAGGCTAACACTACCAGAAGGTGGCAGTAAACACCAGCTGTTTAAACAGCAAAAATTGAAGAAGTGCTACTTCTATAAAAGTGAAGTTCAGGCAATTGGTTTTTAATGAACATCGAGTATTTTTGCTTTGTATCCTACTGAGAACCGAGGAAAAAAGCAAGAGAACAAGTAAATCTATCACGGCATGCCTGTATTCATTCACATCTCAGAAAACATTCTTAATCACTCACTTTTCTTTTTTTAATCCATTTGCTTTCAGTAAACTCCTATAGCTTTTAAGGTGACTTTAACCCAATAATATGTTTTTTCTGCATCTGGTTTTACAGGAAGTTAGAGGCAAAGTTCCCCCGAGGTGCATGTTTGGTTTCCAAGTGCTTTTTCAAACCATATTTACACCTGGTAACGCCAAACAAATAACACGCCAGTGAAGCCATAAAACAGGAAGCTTTAGGGCTGATTTTGGCTTTTAATCTTTAAGTTTTTACCCCCTTACAGACATTTCATTATTTTTTTTCCAGTCTTGAATTTGTATGATGTTAAATCAGAGTGGATATCCCTGTATGAATACCTCAGGCACAGATGCTCCGCCCACCTGCTATTCAAACCTTTTGCTTTCAAGGGGGAGCCTATCAGAAGTTGTCTTAAAGAGGAAGAAGCTAAAACAGGTTATTTCATGTAGAGAATTAAATGAGGGGGTTCTAAGGTCCAGTATTAGATAAAGTAGTATTATTTCACTAAACCATGCCTAACTACTGTATTAGCGAGCAGATTAGGTTGCTTTTAATCTGGTGCTGTTTCCTGTTCTTGGACATTTAGTAGTAGCACGCTTAGACAGTTTGTACTCACACTCTGCCCGGGGGGAGGTCCCTGCAGAAACACACAAGCACAGCACACAACATTTTTACCTTATTTTTATTCAAGCAATGAAGACAGGTTTACTGTGGGGTCCATTTAATAAGAAAATAAATCATCTTACTTGTCAAATGTTGTTTTCACTTTCAGCTGATAATCCACTTCTGGAAGTTTAACCAGGAGTCTGCAAGAAATCAGAATAAACTGAAACAAACTGCAACCCAACAGCAGAAACAAATCCTGAAACAACAAGATGTCACATCACCATACCTGACTTTGGTGGTGAACTGTACTCCAGTCTTAATGATGAGGGGTTTCTGTGGATGTGTGGGCATACATGGCTGCTTCTCCACCACAAATGAACTGTGAAAAAAAACCCACACCTCGATTTACAATTTCACTTTAACACCCCGAGCTTGAGAGAGAACATTCAAACCACAGCTGGCCGTGTTCCTCCTCCGGTAGTTACCACCTTTCGGTTTATTGTCTAATGTGTTGTCAGAAGCTGAAGCAGAGGAGGAAGTCGTGTTTTTCATTTTTCAGAGCACTGAAAGTTGTTCTGCACAAAGTTGAATTGGGCTGGGATCCCTTGCACTGCTTATTACACATCTGCATCTCCTCCTCTCCCGTGTGGCATCCCTCAAGGCTCAATCCTGGGACCACCTCTGGTTTCATTATATAGGTTATCTTTCGGCTAATAACTTAACAGCTTCAGTGGTATCTAGTACCATTTCTTTCTTTCTTATCTCAGTGAATGTGTCACTAATTAATTAATTGTCCTTTATCTTACTCCTGGTAAAACTGGGGTTTTTGTGTTAGGCTCTGACAGTTTCTCTAATGAGACCCAACATTAAATCACTACTCTTATTATTATAGATGAAGCTACACAGCTGTCAACAGGTCATTAAAATCATTTCAAGCTGCAGCAGCAAAGAGATATACACAAAAGAGAATCAATAACTGTGATTCAGCATACTCTAAGTAGATTCTGCTACTCAAACTATTGCACTTTTACTTCAATTTTAGTTTTGTTTAATAAATTAAAAGCATCTAAATACTTCTTTTCATAACAGGGTTTAATTTTTTGTGCAGATAATTTCAGAGGTGGGAAATAACAAAGTAAAAATACTTTGTTATTGTACTTAAGTAGAATTTTTAGTTATTTGTACCTTACTTGAGTATTTGTTAACACTTCATTCATTTCAAATTAAATATTCTTGTTCTGTGTCACCACATTTAAAAAAAAATAAAAATCATAGAAATACCCCCACATGCAACACAGATTTCTTTCACAAATGCTAAAGGAATAAAATGTCTTCTGCTGAGCTGTGTTGGTACCTCTTGATGAGATGGTAGATGAGATATTTCACTCTCTCTTCCATCTGAGGCTTTTGCAGGGGTATTGGGTCGCTCTCATAGGTCACCTTCACCACCAGCTCCCCCAGTTTGTCCAGCTGACGCTTGATCTGGAAAAGGCTCTGGGCAGTCAGGGTGAACCTGAGAGAAGCGAAGAATAGGATGAGGGCAGAGAATTTATCTGATCTTTATTTAACAGCATAGTGCCACCTTAAAATCTGTTACCTCTGCCAGTTAGTTACAATATACTCAATTATTTTGCTCGATAGTAAACTACTTAACTGACAACTGACAATTATAGAAGATCGTTTCTGCCACTGAAAAAGAGAAATGGCTGGCAATTAAAAATTGGGGCGATCGTGGCTCAAGAGTTGGGAGTTCGCCTTGTAATCGGAAGGTTGCCGGTTCGAGCCCCGGCTTGGGCAGTCTTGGTCGTCGTGTCCTTGGGCAAGACACTTCACCCGTTGCCTACTGGTGGTGGTCAGAGGGCCCGGTGGCGCCAGTGTCTGGCAGCCTCGCCTCTGTCAGTGCGCCCCAGGGTGGCTGTGGCTACAATGTAGCTTGCCATCACCAGTGTGTGAATGTGTGCTTGAATGGGTGGATGACTGGATATGTAAAGCGCTTTGGGGTCCTTAGGGACTAGTAAAGCGCTATATAAATACAGGCCATTTACCATTTAAAATAAATAAAATAAATTAAAAAACAAAAACAAAGCGTTTTTCAGTCACAGAAACAAGCTTCCATAGTAATTATACTAACGAGTTAGCTATATAGTTAACCAAGTAATATTCGTGTCAAGTTGGGCGACATATAGCATATATTTTACAGTATATATCACAGGGTGTCATATGTACTGGGAAATTAATATTCAATCTATAAATAAATATTTATTAGAAATAATGTATACATTTATTTTTTTGTATAATGAATTTACTTCAGTTGGTGTTGGTCCTCCATATATCTATATAAAAGCAGATATACAAATGGTACTTAACTATTACAAATGCAACAGATATACAACCATATGTCCTGTTTACATAATTTATTAATATTATTTTAGCATTTTTGGGCTTCCATACAAAGTACTGGTTATGGACAAATCAAGTGTGTGATCATGTATGAGTTGTATAGTTTTAATGTTTTATTTGGGAACAGAATGGTGTGTATGTGTAAGTTTGGTGATGGAGTTTTTATTATGAATGAATGATGAATTTTTATGAATTATTATGTCTATTTTTATGCTTAAGGACAACAGATGGAAATTAGCCCTTGGCTATAATCTGGTATGTTTACATTCATGTAATTTTTTTTTTTTTACATTTATGTTCATTAACATGCACTGTCCTAAATAAATAAATAAATAGATAAATAAATAAATAATTAGCATTAGCAGTAAGGATTTCTGACTTTTTGTTGGAGGTCATTACCAGCTCTGCAGCTGCTCCAGCCCGGTGAGCAGAGGACCCCCGATGGCAGCAATCTGCTGCCTTCGTTTCCAGTCCTGCAGCTCAGGGTTTAGCTGAGAGGTCATCAGGTCGTCAATCTCTTTGATCACAACGTCCATCTTTGATAAAATCTCCTAACAAAGGCATAAAATACAGTGTTTATGGCTGATCAACACACTGTGAATGAATTTTTTTATTTGTACACCTGCATATATTTTTGTCACGTTTCAGAGCTTTGCATGTGCGTACCTTCCTTTTAAAGTCAAGCCGGTTTAGCATTTCCTGTAGTCTTGTTACTTCCTGTTTCATCACGTCAGAGTTTCTATCAGTTGATTCTGACACAACCACAAAAACAGTAGTATGAAATAAGAATTCTAAAATAGTAAATGACTTTTTATTTTTACAACTTGTAAAATGGCTCACCTCGAGACTGCAGGGTCTTGTAGCGGAAATCAAAGTCATCTTGCATGTCCTCGATGTATTTCACAGCCTGGTCCATCAACTGGAAACACATTTTTTTGTGTAAAATTCATCAATAAAATTCAGCTTTGTGTTTTCTCCATCCTGTATTGAAGGTGTTTGAGTTACCTGCACGCTGCCCCTGATGATCCCAACTCTGTTGTCCATGTTCTTCTGCCTCTCAAACGCCACAGAGTTCTGCAAAGACTTCTCCAGAGGACCCTGTAAAAAAAACAAAAAAAAAAAACATTTACAACTTTGCATTTCTGAACAGACTGTAATCTTTATTTACTTCTGATTTAACCATATCAACATTAATGACATGACTCTCTCATATGTCTGTTGGTGCTGCTCCCACAGCATCATAACTAAGAGCTGTTGAAATGTTCAATTCAATTTTATTTATATAGCGCCAAAGCACAACAAAAGTCGCCTCAAGGCGCTTTATATTGTACAGTAGATACAGAGAATGTTGCAAATGTTGTGGCTTTGTGATTCAGGGTCATGTGGGGTTCATGTTCAATACAGTGTGTAATGAATGTTTTTTAAAGTTGCTTTTTTGCCATCTTTAGACAAGAAAACGTTATTAACTTTGGGAAAATTCAGGGTGCCAGTGCATGAATAAAAAACATGTTACTCACTGGTTTTGGTCTCTGCAAACTGAAGACTTAGTTAAAGACTGGATCTTCATCATGTTTATGTCTTTGAGGCATTTTTTAACCAATTATCTGAGAAATACCACAGTTTATTTTGAGGTAGAGGCTGTCCACAGCTTTGGGGTGAGTGAATATTCACCATAGTATTATAGTATTAGCACGTAGCTGTGTCTGTGTACAGTTCATGGATGCAGCATGGTAATCAAGCTTTCTCAAGTTAGCTGAAAATTTAGTTAATATGTGGACATGTAGCACAGTGGCTACATGCATCTTTTGTATACAGTCGATTTATTGGACATATCGTGTACTGGGACGTGTTGAATATTTTTCTGGCACATTAAATTTTAACATTGCGTGGGTAATATTTTGGGAACAAACAGCCTCTGTGCACAGAGAGTCTCTAAATGTTTAAACTCTAGCTATGAGTATCTGCATATAGAAGACCTCTTTCTTCCTCTGAAACCTGAAACCAGACTGAGTTTAAACCTGCAATAACAGATGTGTTGTGCCATCTGATGTGAGCAGAAGCTGCAAAGCATCACTGAAACGTTTTAAGGCGATATAGTAAACTTCTTTATGACTGCTTTAGTTTTTGGTCTTTACAACGTTTTTTTGCACGGATATTAGAAAGAAAAGGTGTTAATGATGTCTGTGTGCTGTGTAGTGCTGGGGAGGTAGTCCAAGGTGAGTTTATTACTCTTTATTGGCTCCAATAACAATAAAGTTATGGTGCATTAAACCCAAACAGTGAGCTAAGTGAAGCAGCAGTCTCTATGGAACAACCCAGCTTAAACAAACACAGTTATCCTGTTCACGGGAGTAGAAACACTTTAGTGATTACCGTAAAAAGCCAAACACTGATTGTTGGGAATAAAGTGAACTGGCTGGTTGGGAGGGTGGGGGTGTGAAATATGTTTTACAGTGTAGTCTTCCTGGTAGTGGCCCAGATTTACCAGCAGAGACTGTAATAAAGGGACTTTCCCTTCACTGAGGCAGACAATGTGACAAACCTGTTCTTGCATGCAGGCACTGGAGAGAATACGGCGCTCTTCCCTGAGACAGGTGGAGATGACTCTGGCCATTACAGCAGGATTGGTGGCGTATTTCAGCTACAGTGACGCAAACAGAGAAAATTTCAGTTATAAAACCCCCTGAGAAAAAACCTTCGAACCAATGATTTCCTAATGATGTGATCATTTGTGTAAGTAGGCTATAAAACCAACCACAGCATGATCAATACTCCCACAGTGTCTGTTTATCTGTGAAGAAGAGATGAAAAGGAAATCCCTGACAGAGCAGAAGCCCTTTAGTTCAATAACAAAGGAATGAAGTTTAACTGGACACAAAACGAGCATTCTCCGTGAACAGCAGCTGAGTAAATAAAGTCAGATATTTGGAGCTCATCCAGGATCGACTCTTTAAGGGCAAAGAATTTAACCACAACATTTAGTTAAATATTAGAGAACAGATTCGAGCGTGTGAGCCTCATTTATAAACATGTAAAAGTTGCATAATCAAAATTGTAATGATGCAACTTGCACCATGAGGTTAAAAAATAAAATAAAAGAAGCAACATTAAGACAAACCTTGTTAACCTTTAGCAAATAACCCTAACTGAGGATTATTGTCCACTAGAAACCTTAGATTTCTTAAGTAGGGATAGACTTCAGGGCTCAAATTATTATTTTTGTTTTAAATTGCATTCCCTATCTATGAGTGCCACATTTATTTATTTCTCCATTCAATCTATCCATCTACGTTCATTCACTCATTAGCATTTTCTCCTTTTCTTCAAAGATGTATTTATTTCATTATTTTCGTAATACATTCCTTTTTTGCTTTTTTATGAGGCAAATCACAGAGTTATGCAATGACATTAATCATTAAAATAAGAAATTTAAAGTAAGTAAAACAGTAGAATCAATAGAAACATATATTGTATAAATAAATACCCACATTTATTGGTTTTAAAGTCGTTAATGGCCTTTTGATGTTTTTTGGTTTGTTTTTTTTGCATTTGCTAAATATTGATAAGTGGGATTATATATTTTGTTTCTGTGCCTTTAATGACATATTCTTTTTCGTGAATTCGGTATTCTAATGATGCCTTTAATGGTATATTCATTCATTTTTTTAAAAATCAACTTATTTTTGATTTTGGCAGTTTGGCACCTCCATACATTCCTGCCAGATGCCTGTATCTTTAAATCTCTTTATTTTTAGACTATATATGGCTAATATATGCGGCAGAAGCCACAAACTTTCCGAAGCTGCATATCGGCCTCTACATACATTCAAATGCTCACTAAGAAAAGTACAAAAAACTTCTTCTGGAGGAAGAGGGAAAGTTTTTGTCTCGCCTTCAGGTGTGACTAATATTTCATCACTAAAATGACAGACTGAGGACGCACAAACGCACACACACACCTACACGCTCAGTCTTATGACAGCGGCAGTGATGCACTGGTATCCTTTCAGAGTTTGTACCGTTCACCAAGCTGACCTACATTATTCAGCAAAAATTCACTATAAATACTTCTCCTGCTGTTATGGGTACTTTACAGTCAAACCCAACACTCCTGACATTTTCCCTCAGCAAGCAGCGAAGGTCAGATTAAAAATGTGCGCCTACCACTGCGAGGGATTTCCCCTCGAAGAAAGACCCTGCGTGAACATGAATGGAAGAGAGATTCAAACACGAGCTAAAATCTCTCCTCTGTTACATGAACACATAACAACAACAACAACAAGCCACAAACACCGTCGACTATCGCACAGGAGTAGCTACTTCCTCTAAGAAGTGTTGACACATAACACATATACATATTCACAGGAAGCAGCGGTATGAGCCTCGAGGGTTCATTCTGCAAGAGGTATCTGTCTTTCTTCCAGAATAAAAGCGAGTGACGACCACAACCAAACTTCCTGAGAAGCTCCTCTGGCAGAATATACATCCTCAAAGGGTTCATCGACAGAGAGAATAACTTAAAGCGTTTATAGACAACAATGAAAGAAAGGAATTCAATGTGCAAAAGCTCTTTACTGACTTCAGTTGATTAAAACAGTAGCAGCAAAAACAGGAGCTGCAGCTTTCAGGCAGCACACAAACAGAAAGCTGCACATTTACAGCAATTCCCAACTCGTGAGCACGGCAATTATTTTACTTCCCTTTCACCTCAGGCACATGTACACACCACGAGGCTACTTCTCCAAATTGAGGACGCTTTAATGACAACAGTTCAGGGAGTTCACGGCTGAACGTTTTCTCTGTGTTCAGTTTGTTTGAGGTGTGTGGATAAAAGTGCACAACAATAACAAGAAGCCACGGGCAGAGCAGCACTATAACCTACAAGTACTGAGCAAAGAATCCAACATGACCTCTTTTCTGAGCTGTACAAAGGAAACTCATGTAGAAACACCACAAATATCAACTTAAATGAGAATTAAAGCTGCTTAATCTGGACTGCCATAAATAAACTGCAGCTAATTACGAACTTTGCAAAATTCCCACAAATCCTGAATACTTTTAAGTCTGCAAAGTTCAGCTAGAAACTTCTTTTACAGATTTGCATGCAGTTGAATCCATGCTCACAGTTGTGGCTTCAACAAAAAAAAAAGAACAAAAAAAAGCCTTTTCTTCAAATGTAATCATGAGAAATGATTAACATGCATATACTTCCTCAAAAACATCCTAAAGCTCCACAGCCTGTGCTGAATCATGTGATTTATGTAAAACTATCAGACTGATCAGGATCATCAGATTTGCTTTAATCAGCACGACACAAACATGAGTCTGATTTTAGATGCTGTGGGGCTCTCTGCTAGTAGCTTGTATTCTTTAGGTCTGATCAGTTGTGCAGAGAGTATAGCTCTGTACACGTCACAGTCCATTCTGCTGCTTATATCAGAAGTGACATCATCAGTAAACATAAGTGACCCGTTCCTGCAGCCATAAATGCCCAGGCCCACACTACCTCCACCATGTTTAACAGATGTTATACGCTTCAAATCAGATTTCTCTCCTTCTCCAAACTTTTATCTTCCCTTCACTCTTGTAAGACTTTATCTTCTTTCAGGACTCCAGAATCCGGCCTGCCTTACCACAGACCTCACCTGGCCGTTAAGTCATCAGTCAACTGTCCAATTACTTTTGAGACTCTAAAAATATAACGTGTGTATAAAAATAGCTGTATCTCCTACACAGTTAATACCGAAATTGTTAAACCCCTTGAATTAAAGCTAAAAGTCTGCACTTCAGTCAGCTCTTAACTGTTTCATTCAAAGTAGTTATTTTTCAGTAGTTTTGAATTAATATTCATTTATATTTTTGGCAGTTTTAATCCACTATGGATAACAGTAATATTAATATTAAATAAGAAACTCAAATTTTTATTTTTGGCAGCCACCATAAATAATGTTAACTAGATAAATCACTATTAATTGAATATCAGCATGTATTATTAATATTTTTTATTTATGTTAACTTTTTGTATTTTTGTCATTTGCAATCTTCCATATAAAAATACCAGTACCTAACTAACCAGCTTTTCCTCCATATGCGATTTGAAACCCATATCTTTGTCATCTTTCTGCCATCACCGTGTGCCGAACGGTCTCATTCACTGCTGTGTAAACATGTATGTGACGCTTTAAAAGCACGTGTTGAGCTTTTATCTTTCCACATGATCACGTCGTAGTAAAAATCTCACCTGTTTCTTCTGTAATATGTGTCAATAAAACTGTGTGAGTAGAGCATACACACTTCCTCTATTTACACTACATCTGTCTGTCAAGGCTGCTTTCCAGTATGGGGCACATTAGGGTGACAGTTGTTTTTGTCATCTGTGGAGCACTCAGTAAGTGCATCATGTGAAAAAACAAGCATGTAGCTTCTAGCCTGTCCTAGAAAACAGGAAGTCTAACAAATGTTTGTGTTACAAAGGAAGATCTGAAGTGCTGAGAAATTAGATGTCTGGGGGAGAGGTGGACTCACTTGCAGCTGCTGCTGGATTATTTTCATGTTGTGTCGTTGCAGAAAGTTCTGCTCCTGCGAGCGCACCCTCTCCAGCTGGGTCAGCAGGTTGGTGAAGAGCACGCCAGCCATCGACTCGTCGTTCACCGCGGTGTCCCTAAAAGTAGACAGAGTGACACATTCAGGAGATTCAGAGCAACAAAACCTGTGAAAAACAAAGAAGTTGCTTTACCACCTACCACAGACCTACAAGGTCTTGAATAATCAGGCCCCATCTTATCTTAATGACTTTAGAGTACCGTATCACTCCATGAGAGCCCTTCGCTCTTAGACTGCAGTCAGACCAGTTGCAGATGGCTGCTCCTCCCTGTGCCTGGTTTTGCCAGAGTTTTCCTCCTCTTAAAAGGGAGTTTTTCCTTCCCACTGTTGCCAAAGCGCTTGCTCACAGAGGTGAGCAAGTTGTTGGTGTTTACTCTGCATTACTGTAGGGTCTTTACCTTACAATATAAAGTGCCATCGGGGAACTGCTGTTGTGATTTGTTACTATATAAATAAAACTGAATTGAATAGTTCCTTGCTCAAGAGTCAAAAATAAGTGTGATTTGGGAAGTTCTGACAATAGTGGTACTTTTGTCCATCCATCCATTTTCTTCCAATAAAGGGTTGGAAGACAATGGATAGGCTGCGCTCACCTGCAACCACCATGGACAGGTGCCAGTCTGTCATAGGGCTAACACAGAGAGACAGACAGCCATTTACACCTATGGGAAATCTAGAATCATCTGTTAACTTAACCCCACTAACTGTATGTCTTCGGACTGTGGTGTGGGAGGAAGTCAGAGTACCCAGACAGAACCCTCACAGACACGGGGAGAACATGTCATGCCCCCAAAAAACCAAAAACTGCAGTTCCTTGAATGATCACTGAAGCCAGACTTCAAGAGTAAGTTTGTCTTCTTGGTTTTTCTCTCTTCTCATGCCGATAATGATTCCGCCACAGCTCTGTACCCTTCATTCCAGTACTTAGGGTGCGAATTCCCCTGCAGTATTCTCGTAAGCAATAGATGTCGCAATTGAGACAAAACTTCCACATTCGCACTAGTATTGTCTCTTCAACCCAGCAGAAGCACAATGGACCATTTTAAAGAAATCGACAGCTGCAGGACCGGCTGACACGACACCAACATGGTGGCTTGCTACAGCAGGTGTGACATCACTTAGGCGTACAGCGCCGTTCGCAAGGGGATGAATGGCGACATAACAGGATCCTTCTACTCCCAAGTTAAAAATCATAGACTGTATTTAAAAAATAAATGTAGCTACCATTACATAACCTATTTATTTCTGATATATGCATTTCTAGACTGAACTTAACCAATAATCTTTGAGGAGAAAAAGGTCTTTTAAGTTTTGAAAACAACAAGAAACATGTACCTTTTCTTTGTATAAGACAAAAAATAAGAAAACTATGAAAAATTATGTCTTCAATACATTTCTTGGACTTTTTAAATTGTATTTCTTGTGGAATAAAACTCAAAGGTTTGTAGCCTTATGTACATGTTATTTAGTGAAGGAATGGAAGAGCCTTCAGGCAGGTTCTCTCAGATCTGCCCAGCACCGTTGAAAAATGTACTTTAACTCAGACCACAATCATTCCTAAATCCTGCTAAAACCGAAAACTAAAAGCATCCATTTACTCTCCTTTTAGCTAAAAGCAAACACTCTGTGGGTGATAAATGATCACTGTTCTCGTTGATAAGGAAGAAGGTGCAGCTACAGCGGGTTTTTCACTGAAAAGAGCTTCCTGTAGGAAATGAGGTCTATGACGTGAAGTTGTGGGCTGTAAAACCAAGAAGTCATGGTTTTGATCAATCAGCCTCAACTGAACAAAAGTATAAACTCAGCGATTTGAACTCAGCTTTGTCAACATGTTTTTGATGCACAGGTGATCGTTTATGTTTGCACAAACTTTCACTGAGCTTCAGAAGACGTCTGGATCAAAAACTCCTGCTTTTCTGGATTTAAATTTAAAAAGCCTAGACCCATTAAAAATATAGATATCTATACACTTAAAATATTTGATAGACAATATTTCTGTCTTATTTTGCTTCAGAACTATTACATAGGATTATTTCCTTGAATTATTTATTCATCCATTTTAATTTCAAGTTACTCATTTATAAATTATTATTTTTTCATCATTTTGCCTTACTCCATTTTTCCTCAAGTATTTTTCTTAAAGAATATTTATTTAGACATTTATGCTTTATTAAACAAATATAAACGGCTGACATTGTGAGTGTTTATGGAGGTGATTCTTTGCCAGCATATTAACACCAGACTCATATCCTAAATATATTTTCATATACTTATTATTTGGTTATCTTTAGTCTTATGTACAAGGTTATTATAGTCGACTAAAACTAATATAAAATGAATAAAATAAATATTTGAGTTAACTGAAATAAAATAAAAATATGCATTTTATTAACTGAAGATGATAACTCCATGTGACTGAGTCATGGGTTTATTTTGTACTTACATTACAAAAAATAAAACTGATACTAAAACTAAACCATCCCCACCCTTTGGAAGCAAACTACAACTTAAGTTAAAGCACAAATAAAAACTCACTTATATAAACTGCTATATTACAATCATTACAAAGAAAGAAGAATGAAAAGACAGACATATTTGGTAAATAGTAAATAAATAGTTCACAATACTTTGATAAAAAAGAAAAACATTAATATTACATGTTGTGTACTTAATTGAATAATTATTTATGTACTAAGTCATTAATTTGTGTATTTAGTTAATGTTAATTTTGGCAGCTTCAGTCCTCCATACCATGTGGTCTTTCAGCCTATGAAGACAGCTGCCTTTTTTTGTAATACAGACTTTTTTTTCCCCACACTTCTTTGCACATAGATGAAGACTCACCAGTCCTGAGACTCGATCCAGCTGGCCAGCCCCTGCCTGATGTCCATGGGGAAGTTATCGTCATACAGGTAATCCACCTGCTCCAGGAGTCTGATCTCCAGCTGTTGAATCTGCTTCCACTGGCTCATGATGCTGTGCCTTCGGACACCACGCGATGCACACACCCGTTATCACCAAAGAGTGCTCTAAAAACATGAATAACATGTTAAATATTATCTAAAATTACGGATTATTTATTGTATGTAATTATCTGATCGTTTAATGTCGCTTCTCCTCGTGTTTGTTACCTGAGATGTTTCCGCGCTGCCTTCCCGTCAGCTTTCATCTACCATGTGCACTTGTTTCCCTTGCGCTGACTTTCGTTTTTTATATGTGCCTCTCAGATCAGGAAGCGACCTCATTTCCCCTCAGTGGCTGTTCTCAGGTACTCAGAAGGCCCCTCCTCCTCCTGCCAATCACACACTCAGAATGATCCTAAACTTTTAGACAGGTAACAGGTGCAACTAGAAAAGTGATACTGTAAGGTTATATAAAAAAACAGACTAAGTTAGAGAAGTAGCTGAAATGAATGCATCATATTTATCTCAGCTGATTACATAAATCTTTAGATAGGTAATTAATGATCAAAAATTACTTTCAGCTAGATCACAAATTAATGATAAACAGTCTAAATGACCAACCAAACATAATGGATAAACCATAAACTGATGAAATCAGTGACTGTAAACAAACTTTTATATAGTAATTTATGGAAGTTTGTTTGCACCAGTTTTGAGTTATGTATCTTAGAATTTCAAGTTAACAGATAGCAGAAAATATGATTTATTTTTTTTTTAAATGGTGGAAACAAGCATCTATAGGCAATTGTTGAATTACACTAGCTAGATTAAATTATGAGTTAAAGGTGATAAATTATTTATGACTATCTGATAAACTGCTTGCTAACAGTTTGCTAACATTAAACCATTATGTTGCTTTTGAAGCTAGCAGTTAAATTGGCATTATGACAAAGTATCAAATTAAATTAAATTACTAGAAATGTTGATAGGTTTTGTTAAAGTTATACCAAGTGGTTAAGCTGTCTAACACTTTTAACTGACAGTTAAAATGGTTAGCTAAACGCAATGGGTGAACCATATACTGTAGCTAACTTTATCTATATTCTTAGGCAACATTTGACATTTAAGATTATTATACCAATAATAAAATAATTTACAAACCTTTTAAAAAAAAAAAAAATCAAACAGTTCAAAACACAATTAATGAGCCATAAAGTGTTGAAATGTGTTTTGATTTTGATTCTGCTGCAAAGGCAACTTTTTAAATACCTTGGTTAGCTAAACTAACAAACTAAGAGTAACACAATCGATTAACACCTGTTATATTAATAGCTGAGACTGTTAACTAAATACAGTACATAAACCACAGAATGTATATCTTTAAATATATTGCTAATTTAAATCATAAATTAAAATATGTGTACTTTGCTAAAGATACAGTTAGCAGTTGTTCCTGTTAATTTTTCCATATTATGTACTGGGGTATATTTGTCAGGGGCAAAATCTTAGTACATTCATTTTTTTTTAAATCAATTAACACTTATTTTATTTTCTGTCTTTACCTTAATAAGACATTTATTTTGTCACTCTCTACATTATTGGCTTACATACCATTTATTCACTTTATTCACTTTTAGTCACTTACAGTTATTTATTCACCTTTCAGTCACTTTAATTTTAAAACTGTGTAATTTTAAAACTGTATATTCTGTGTATTTATTATTTCACTCTTATTGCCTGTTCTTATTGTCCTTATCTTCATCGTTATGGTGCCTTGTTGTTTGTTAATTGCCCCTTGGGAATAAATAAAGTCTTCTGATTCTGATTCTGTTTTTAATTTTCCAAATTCTTCCCTGATAAATAAAGTACTTCTAATCTTACCTTATAACAAAAAAGCTTATGAAACGTAGAATGACTGATTAGGACAGAACTATACAAAAGAAGTGGCACATTTAAATAGAAAAGTTTAATAAAATTCTTGCTGAATAAAAATATAAATGCAATACAATAAAGAGCAAATAAAAACTCTAACCATTAAATAAACATTTTGTGGTATGACACTTTCTGCATATGTAACAAAATGGCAGAGGGTGGGAAACTTTTAAATACAATTAAAACATTATTTATTAATTTGAAGTCATAAAAGTGCCCCGTGTATTTCTTACTGTAGCCCTCCTATCCAGCAGGGGGCGCGTGTTAAACGGAGTGGTGCTGACCGAGTGAGGAGCAGCGCTCAGAGGTGAGAGTTCACTCCGGTAAAAACATGGTTGAACACGGGGATATCCGCGTGGTTCACTGCGGCGGCAGTAAAATAAACTTCAGGGATCCTGTGATAACCCACGACTCCAGGTGAGCGAGTGTTTTAATCTGCCGATGTTTCATATTTAGTGGAAAGGTCTCGCGCGGTTCGTGTCGTTTGTGTTAGCCTCAGAGCTGAGGCTGTTAGCATTAGCTTGAGAAGCTGCTGGATGTTCCTGCTGCTGTTTACAGCATAGTATCAGCAGCTCGTCTCAGCTCCGTGACTCTGACTGAGCCACAGACCAAGACTGAGCTGTGTCCCGGTCCCTACATGTTTGTTTGATGTTTGTTTCCTCATATTTGTATCGCTGCAGGTTCCTTCTGTGCGCCTCCGGAGAGGCTGTGAAGGTGTTCAGCACCTCCACAGAGGAGTGTATCCACGAGCTGCGGGGTCACACCGGGCTGGTGACAGGTGTGCTGCTCAGACCCTCAAACCACTTACAGGTACAGTCACCTCTCCACCTAGAAAAACGACTTTTTTCAAGACGTCTTTATCCAGAAACTCGCTGATATTCATTTAATGTTAGAAAATACAGGAAAAGCAGAATAGCTGCCGAAGCCACTTTTTCTTTACGTGTAATTATTTATTTATTAAGTTTAGTTCAATCCCCCAGCTCTAATCAAACAAGAATCAGATCTCTTTTTATTTTTTTATTTATTTACTTACTCATTATCCTCATTACTCACTCTGTTGGTTCAGGCCAGAGGCAAAGTAAGTAAACTCTTGATTTTCTGTTCCTGAAAGAGCCCTAACTTAAACTCTGAGTCAGTTACGATTAGTGGTGCAACGGATCCAAGATCTCACGGTTCGGATCGGATCACGGTTTTAAGTCAGGGATGGGATCAATTTTCGGCTCAGCAAAAAAAGACAAAAATTTAACTCTCCATTTACTTATTTAGGTATTTTTTGCCTATTAAAAAACATTCAACTCAAGACTCATTCCTCGCAGTTATATAAAAACAAATTAAGGTGCAATATAGGGCAGTACAGGTCTTTGTATCTACCACTCCGTGGTAATATAATGAGCGGTCACAACGCTTTCTGTTGCCCTGGAGGTCCACCCATTAGGGCAACAGAAGATGCCTGGGACAGTTCAGGCATAACTTTAGACTTTTCGTGCTCATACATGCTTGGAACGATCTGATCACTGAAGTGGACGCGCAACGGGATATCATAGCGTGGCTCAAGCACGTTCATCATAGTTTAAACCCCCTTGTTTTACACAACGGAATACGGCCTCACGTCTGCAGCTAAACACTCCAATAGCTTTTGTAATAGCTTTAGCCCGGACGGATTGGGCAGCAAATGGCGCAAACTCCTCTGCTCCTCCTGGACTGCTAGCACTGGCCATAACTATGGCTTGACAGACTGACCACGCGTACCATGCACATACTTTTTTTCCTTCTTTTTCGAATCTTCGGATCATATATATATATATATATATATATTTCTATATACATACAGTTCATCGTTATGTCTCTCACTGTGCTTGTGTTGTGCTGCAGGTTTACTCTTCATCACTAGATGGCACTCTCAGACTCTGGGACTTCACAGACGGGATTCTTATTAAGGTTGGACGTTGAGTCTTGTTGTTTCTCTCCAGTCTTTTCTGTCACTGTGGATCATCAAACTCCAGCTGCAACACACACTTTCCTATTTTATCTGTTTATAAAAGTGAAATGAAGGGTTTATTTATTATTAGGCAGCCCTCAAACAGAGTGAGCAGGGCACCTGTGATCAGTCTGCGAACATGCAGATGATGCAGATCCTGTTCATGATAATAAAGGAAATGTGTTCTATCTTCTGTGCTTTGACTGCATAACTGAATTTTCTTGAGCTAACAGAAGTTTTTTGCATTAGTTCTGAAAGATTTCCTCTCGATGTCCTTGTGGGTGATTAATTTAACTAATTATATATATTTTTTGTAAATGAACTCTCATATAAATGAATTGTTTCACCTTAAATTAGCTACAAAACATGGAAATTCAGCAGAAAAAGGAGTAGAGGTGTTTATGATGAGGTTTGTGGGTCCAGCTTAAGAGCCCATGTTTCCAAGATGCATGACAGCTGTGCGGTCTCTTCTAGACTTGTGTCATTGGATACCCAATCTACTCCTTCTACGCCTCTGCCAAACATGAAAACGTCATCTTTATTGTTGCATCCATGCCGAGTGACAAAAGAGCGGGTAAGTGTGACATCAGAGCGCCATTCAGACTCCATTTGTGAAGTAAAGTTTCTAGAACTCAGTGTGAATCTGTTGCACCACCGTCTGAGGGGTAAAGGAAGAGTCCCCAAACAAGGTTTATTAATAAAGTGTGATATTTATTTAATCGCAGGCTACTGCAGGGTGACCCAAGGGGGAAAATAGCAGAGTGATGCTTCTCAGGGCAAGAAGTCAAATATTAAGAAAAAACTAGCCACGCAGATGCCTGTATGTGTCATACCTCTTCATGTTGAATGTTATTGCTTGTTTTGGAATAGTTTTAATGTGTTGGAGTCACCAGGTCGTCCTCGAACCAGCTTTAATATGTGGGATAGAGAAGGTTTTTTTAGAGGTCACTGAATGGGAATGTGTGAAAAAGGCTGATTTGTGTTTGCAGAGCGTTTCCAGCTGGTTGCGGTCCATCTGCCACAGAGTGGAGATCAAATGGTGGAGGCTCAAGAACTTTCTGCCGTACTCAGTGGCGTCAACCCCAACCCAGCAGCCATCGCCTTTGGCAGAGGGGTACGTACATGCCGCCACAGCTGATACCAAGAACTGACTACTTCGACTTAATCTGTCAGGAACTTTAGTTTGACAACTGAAGTTTCTCGAGGAAACGGTATTTTAGAGGGGAGTATATGAGAGAAAGCTAATGCTTCTTCACTGCAGATTATTTTAGTGAATCAATGATCAGCTGTTCCCAGTGCGTCCCTCGTCCTCCATTAGCTTTCAGCTCCTTCGTCTTGGACTGCAGCCTGTGTTCTTTGCTAGCCCAGCACCACA